GAAAAAAGGAAGCAGTTAACACGCACTACCACTTCACTGCTTATCTCTAAGCTAGGAGTCAACGTAGTCCACTCCTATAGCATTAATTTGTATAGCCTGCTGTCAACTAGTCAGTAACCACCTTTCATAATACATATACACAACTTTGCGGTCAGGCGAAATTTTTTCATGCATTAATTCCAAACGCTTTTCGTTTCACCTTTTTATTTCGTGAATTCTTTCTCTTCAACTGCATACATCCTAAACAAAATGGCCTCGATTTGCAGATAGAAAGGATAGGCTACATAATTCCAAAAATGATACAAATAGACAAATTATTCAGTGTGAAGAATTGAATAATTAGACAAGAGGGTAGAGTTCAGATTTCTCCAAGAAATATGGATCGACTAGAGACAAAAACAAGATAAAAAAAGAATATGGTGAATTTATACATATTACATGATAGAGAGTTCAGGAAGGTGGGGATGGATAGTGAAGTAAAATTATAGATATGATAGAGACGATTTGTAGCTCAGGTGGATGATTTCGATGTCGTTGTGTTCTCCGAGCTGGATAGTTAGTGATATGAGGGAATGGATATCACTGCATACAGACAACAATGGACGTCAATTCGACTGGGACAACCGGCGTTCAAATATCAGACAGAGGAAACAACAAGAATGCTACAGAATCTTTAGAAGCCAACCTGGTATTCCAGTGAGTCATCAATCAATAGACACATCGAGATAGACAAAATTTATCAACCAATGAGAAAGAAACCTCACACACAGGGTCAAAGTTCAAGTCAAAAAAACAATCAGTTCCAATACAAGTAGTAGTCTAGAAGGTTTGAAAACACACAAAAACAACCAATCACACCCAATGTCACCCACCAGGAAAGATGATTAAAAAACTCGTGGAGAAATTTAAAAGCTCAGTTCAACGGATTGAAGTATCCGCTGAAGATGTTGCCTAGTAGGGGGCGATGAAAGCTTCTCAAATTAACTATCCAGCTCAGGGAACACAACCACACCAAAAAAGAAGTAAAATCATACAATAGGTAAAATAATTTAGTAGATTTGGTAACTTAATAAGTGAGTTCAACCCAATATGTGAAAATCGAAATCAAAACTAAGCGGAATATTACGCAACATAACAAATCACAAAAATTTCCATATGAAATAATAATAGTAATAACAGATTTATCCTGAACGGCGTTCATATAATCCGTAGTATTACTATACTATTAGATTATGGGTTTTGTAGAATTTAGTTGGATTGGGTGGAGGATTTCCTCATGAGCTGACATCAGTTAGAGAACCAGCTGAGAGTATTGGACAGCTGTTTCGTCAGCCTAGTTTGGGACCCTTCATCAGTAGGTACCCACCGCGAAATGATCACACTATGTCGTGAATTGGCAAAAGTGAGAATTCATGGGCTGACCATTGGATCTGGTCCCAGTGGCTCAATGGTCTACGAACTCGCCTTATAACCAGAAGTTCGTGGATTCAAACCCAGGTGGGCGCGTACTGCTGAAGAGTCCCGAACAAGGCTTACGAAATAAGTGTATAGTACTCCCAAGTAGTCTTCCAGTGGTTCTTTAACTGATGTCAGCTCATAATGGCATCCTCCATCCAATACTATTAGAGGTCATATTTTATCATATTTAAACAAATTGAAAAGAGAAACAATAGGTAATATGTTGATCGAGGTTTTCGGTAGCTTAAGTCTTACATAAGCCGTTGAATATGGCAGCGCTGTGATCTCAAATGCAATTGCCAAACACCTGATTGACACGGGACAAACAGTAGGAATTATTCAGGCAGACGCAGAGGCCACTGTTATCAAAAGACCTCGACCTAACTTATGTAAACAGAAAGATAGTGTGAGTAGTTACCATACCTGTCTTGTTCGTGTGGTTTTGTGTTTTGTTCTGTTGCATAATGTCTTGTAACAGCAGAAGGTAAGACACGGACGGCAATGTTTACTTCTCACTTACCGAGTTGAACTCATTATAAACTGTCCAAATCTACTTAGTTGTTTTGTCCATCATATAATTTTATTTTAATATTGACTCCTCCAACCTCATGAACTCTCCATCATAATATTTACAATTTCAGTCTGTTGTTCGATCTTGTAGTTTGTCTGTGATCAATACTTGCTGTGATTGGAAACTGGTTCCTTTTCAACTATTTCGGTCCAGGTGACCTTTCACTAACATATTTTGATATGAACTTTAAAGTATATCCATTTTGGACAAGGTTTTTTTTCCAAAAACTGTGATTGCCTTTTCAAATGTTATTAATCTATTCTTATTTCCAAGCTAAATGTAAGCTCTAGCCCCTAATGGTTAAATGGTTACAGTTTTTTAGCACTGAATAATCTGTCTGCCTACATCATTTTTGCAACTATGTCGGCTATCCTTTCTATCTGAAACTCGAAGGCATTATTTTTGATTTGATTTTTGATTTACAGCTTGATTCCACACTGTATTTTCGGTACAAGTATGGAATTTTCAGCATGGATATCGGTAGCCCAAATTTTGCAGGCCGACCATAGATATCAGGTGTGCGTCGGTGCGGGCTCGAACCCCGGACCATGTGCATGGTCGGCGAGAGTCCTAACCACTGTGCCACCAACGCACGATGAAAAGTGTGTGTTCAGAAAGAATTTTGTGACTAATAATATTGATTTTGTTTAGGATGTATGCAGTTGAAGAGAGAGAATCCACGAAGTGAAACGAAATTGTATAATATCCTGCAAATATATATACATACATATATATATATATTCGTTCTTTCTTTATTCAAACCTTTCGTTTAATGTTAGATGTTGGAAGCGGACAAAAAAACTAGAAATTTTAATCGAAATTATTTCTAAGCTCATTGATGACCATCAGAGAGACAGTAGTAGAGTGGAGAGCGCTGGCTACCCGAAGTTGGTAGACAGTAATTTACGTCAATTTTTATGTCCCCAATATTGGTCGTGGGAAAAATATGAACAAAGACTGATTCAACAAACACCCACAGAAGACTTTGCGTAGGCGGATTGAGTTAGCATATAAATGATCTGACATTCAAGAAACAGTCACAAAGAGATGAAAGATTAACTTTCAGTGAGAAACAACCAATCAGAACACTGTGTTTATCTGCTAACAATAATCTATAATAAAATACATGAAAATTTTTAAATATGTGTTGATTTCGTAAATAAACGATTTGTTTCCTGTCCCTTGTCTTCTTTTGTTACAGTAGTAGGTAATAGGATAACTAGTATTCTCAAAGGGTCTTTACACGTTTTAATCACACAGTCGCAAAGTCGGTGACTTAACCATTAAGCCGCTAACTTGGCTTGATTCTCAAAGACTCGTATGCAAAGTGTTGAACAGAGCGAAACACGCTCTTCTTCACTTTATTGTAGGCTACAATATTACAGAGAAAGGTGTGAAAGAGCTTCAAGATCACAGCAATCTTTATGTGACAACAGAAGAGTATTCATGCATCAACTGCGTGGAATTAGAGCAACAATAGAAAAGATGAAATTCTAGTATTATTGCTTGAGTAAATAAATTACCCCCCCCCCCCCCACACACAAAAAAAACAGAAAAAGTAACTGAAGCAAAGAAGGGTTAAAAGAAGAACTCCGTTTTCACTTTACCTGAATGTTTTTGATTTGACAAATAACCACTGAGTACGACTAGAGGCGAGATATTCCGCTGGTGTATGATATAAATTGATATCTTGTAAGTATGTGTCAAGATTTAAAATTCTGTTGAAAGAAAGATAACAGAAAATTAACCAAAAGAGATATATAATAATAGTAAAGATGATAATGATAATATTGAATTTACAGGCGGGAATATAATCAAATGAAACGTATCCATAAGAGAAATCTAATAGTACTACTTGTCAATCACAAAAGGTTACAAATATTGAATTTTCAGATGAAGTAAGGAAAACATTTCGAACTAATTGTGTTCTCTGAGATATTGGTTGATTTAGTTGAGAAACTGTCGTGGTCCTTCTAGACGACATCCCCTTTCACTGCAGGTTTCAGTAGAAAATGGACTTATTGAAACTCTTTATGAATGACGTAACTATACCTCCTGGTTACCACTATCATGACTGGTTCTTGTGAACTTACGTCTCTATTGATCATGTTTCTATTGACTTGAAGGCAAAGTTCAACAATAGCGGTCCAAGGGATGATAATGCACGAGTGTTTTTCAGCTGACCAACCATAAAAATGAGGAATTTTTGCACAAAAAATGACGTATATTTCCAAAGAAATGCATGAAAACTCAGTAAATAAGGATATCTTTCTCTGACATGAATTAAAAATACGTCCCATTTATAATGAGGAGTATCAGCTGTTGAGTTAGGCTAGTTTCTCTACATGCATTCACCAAGGTGACTGAAGATGAGTTGTATATGTGAATCCCTTATATCTCTTATTCTCATGTGCGGTCTTTCCCAAAAGCCTTTGGTTGAATTACTATGATTTCTAGTAAAAGGATCGACGACCACTTACCAGGAAAATGTGGATAATAAAACAAATAAATATAAATGACATCAACTCTTTATCTATCCCTAATCGTGGCCCTACCCTATACTTAACACTAACCCCAATTACGACCCTTATCTTAACCGTAAACTTAGCCTTAATCCCAACCATAACGAGCTATTAACACATTGTCAAAAAAGTACTTAAATACGTGATCTGGGTGGAATTTGCATCTTAGTTGACGAATACCATTGATATTTTAGTTATAATAATGATAGAAGTCGTTAACCAATGACTCGCACGCGTTCAAGGTCACCGGAGCGTTCGCACTCCTCCTGGGATGCTATTGTTGAACTTCGCCGACTTGGAATTCAAACTTTCTTACCAAACGATTTACTTCTTATTAGCTGGTAAATGTGGTCTATAATAATAATGTGTTTGTTAATCACTGGCTGATTCATTTGAGTACCAGACTTCTAGGAATTCCTGGATTGCAGTTTTGATGTTTCCTCTATTCAAAATTTCCACATTATCTCAATCATCCAGTTGGTGTCCACAATTATCCACAGGCATTGATATGAAAGAATGTATATCATGGCTTTTTACAGTCTCGGCAAAAGAAACTGTGTGCAGATATTGTTTAAAGGACATCAAACACACTGTAGCAGCACTGCTCCTGTGTTGAAGAGAATGGCTGGAAAAAAAAATGCCTATTAAACATCTTCAAAAACAATGGATATCCTCACAATTTCGTCAAAAAATGTTTAAACCTGACTCATACCATCAACAACAAGTAAACATCAAAGACCACAAGAAAACTTATTTTACCATATATATAAAACATATCTCTGAAATAATAGGTAGAATGTTAAAGCCATTTGAAATAAATATAGCACACAAGCCAGCCAGCCGGTCAGCCAGCACAATCATTTTATTCGATATTGTGCAAACCAAAAGATCCAATAGAAAAAGAAGATAAGATCACAAATACCATTTACAAAATAAATTGTATGAACTCTAACAGACACTGTATCGGCCAAAGTGGGCGTCGTCTTCAAGTCCTTATCCAAAAACATAAATTAGCTGTAAAAAGACAGGATGTGTATATTGTTTCATATCAATGAATGCGGATAATTATGGACACCAATTTCATGATTGTGATAGTGTAGAAATTTCGAATAGACGAAAAACCAAAACTGCAATCCAGGGATTTCTAAAAAGCCTGATGCTCAAGTGAATCAACGAGCGATTAACAAACACATTACTGTAGACCAAATTTACCAGGTAATAAAAATTGAATGACATAACAAGAAAATTCAAATTCCATGTCAATAATAACATGTTCTTTAAGTGTTGGCTTGTAGGGATTTGGTTGGTTACAGGATTTCATCATGAGCTGACATCGGTTAGAGAACCATTGGAAAACCTGGGAGTACTGGACAACTGTTTCGTCAGCCCAGTTTGGGACTCTTCATCAGTACGCACCCACCGGGATTCTAACTCAGGACCTTCTGGTTACAAGGCCAGTGAGCTCGTATACCATTAAGCCACTGGGACCCGATCCAAGGGCCAATGATTTCTAACTTCTGCCACTTCATGACATAGCACGACCCCTAGCCAATGTCTTCGGCAAGTATTTGTCCTCACACCCGACCTGCTGCCCCCTACATGATCAATAGAGACGTAAATTCACAAGAACCAGTCACAACGGTGGTTGCCAGGGGATACAATAAAATCTTCACTCATGGAGCATTTAAATAAGTCCATTTTAATACTGAAACCTCCAGTGAAGGCGGATGTTGTCTAGATGAATATTGAAAGCTTCGTAATTAAATTAACCAGCTGAAAGAGAGTACAATTAATTCAACAGTTTCTGAATGCTATTTTCAGATGCTTGAAGAAGTTTAGAACAACACATTTAGGCGAACAATATTGTTTTCAATTAGATCTCATCAGGCTTAACTCTAATTTCCACAATTTTACAATTAAAATACAAATATAAACCAGACATGGCGTTTTGTCTATATGATAGTAAGATGGTGAGTATAAATTGTGCAATTAGTCATAATAGTAGTAACGATAATAGTATATATATATATATATATATATATATATATATATATATATATATATATATATATATATGTAATATTAAATACTATTCCGAACAATAATAATCATAAACAATGGAAACCTTTCAGCATTTGAGTTTCTTGAAAAGATATTGAAGAGCAGTGGGTACCCTCAAAGGTTCATCAACAACTATGGAAGATCTGAAGTCACAAATGTAAAACAAATCACAGTAGGAAAAAGCCAATCTACATTCAGCTTGATTATAAAGGTGAAACCATTGCAGCGATGATCAACAGAAGACTGGGTACATCATTAGCCATAGCCTATCCTGAAGCTAAATCGGTTCCCATCTATCGGAGATCTTTCTCTTTGATGCAATAAAAAATCGATAGATATCCCTCTCATGTTAACTCCAACTTTATAGACAAATTCACATGTATCTACGGGAGCAGTTACATTGGAAGTACAGAAAGAAGGGCATATCTAGAATTTACTGAACATGTACCAAAAAGCTAACATCTCCAGCGGGGAACAAATGCTTTAAACAGTGCCATCGACAGGCATCTCCTCGACACGGGTCGATCATGAGGTGGACGTCGAAAAGTCGTTCAAAATTATCAACAGGCAGAAGAGCTCAATTCTCCTTAAGTTTGCTGAAGCCATTTCTATCAAGCGCCTGAAACCTGATTTATGCGTCTGTTCAGAAAGAAGCGGTTATCAATCTTTCTCTGTCCTGGTAAGTGGATATTTCTCATCTCTCTTTCTTCCAAATGCGAAATGCTGGAAAGTTTCCACTGTGTATGATTATTATTGTTGTTCGAAATAGTGTTTAATATTGCATATGTATGTATGTATATATTATTAGTGTATGCATATATTGATCGATTGATTTTTGTTTAAAATGAACTCTGTGCAAGTATGTTAAAATTGGTTTTGTAGATTTATTTAATAATGTTTTTAGCCTGTAAGCAGCTGACGAGAAGGCAACGAAATAAACAATGATGGTACTATTTTATTCTGCTAAAACTGTAGTTCTTGCTTTGTTCAAATTCAATTAAGGGGAATAAATGTATGAAAATAATTCCATAACTTCATCCTGAATGAATATCTCCCTTGGCCACAATAGTATTTTATCTCTCGCAGGATCGAATATATATATATATATATATATATATATATATATATATATATATATTCCACTGATTTCATACAGTAATTACTCACCTGTGTCCGACACCAACAAGTTGGGATATATCACTCGACAAGTCGATTAATTTTGTCAGTTTATTAATAAGATAAAGTAGGAAGAAACTTGTCTACAAATGAGGAAACAAAAACAAAGATCAAACAAAAAATAAAGATCAAATCATTTACCTATTCATCTCATTATTTATGAGAGGAGCTAAAATAAAATAAGCAACAATAATCTATAATAATGTACATGAAAATCTATAACTATCCGTTCATTTCCTAAATTAGACTATCTGTTGCCTGACCCTTGTCTTCTCTTGTTACATTTGGTGTCGATGCATACCGACAAATGGAAAGCCTATGCCCTGCAGGTTTTGATAAAGACATATGGATCTTATGGCAGGACTTTGAGGCTTCTGAGCGTTTGAGTGGCGTATAAGATCTGTCAGCGGTGAGGCTGTTAGTTGGGACGCTGCTCGGAGATCGGACGAAAGCAGCATATGAAAGTGTAAGGCGAAATACCGACGAATGTTCGACAAGGTCAGGTAAACAGTTTCCGAAGTGGGAAGGACCACATATGGTGATCACTTTGAGATGAAGTTACGCAGACACAATCGCAATGGTAAACAAAGTGAAACAGGTGAATATCAGCGAGAGCCAAGATTCCAGACAACAACACAAGGGAACAAAGCTCCTAGAACCAAGAAGACCGAACCAACTTTAATCGCAATGTTTACGTCCTCAATATTAGTCGTGAGAAAAATATGAACAAAGACTGATTCAACAACCACAGCAGACTTTGTGTAGGCGGATTCAGTTAGCATATAGATGATCTGACATTCAAGAAACAGCCACAAGCAGATGAAAGATTAGCTTTCAGTGAGAAACAACCAATCAGAAGACTGTGTTATTCTACTAACAATAATCTATAATAATGTACTTGAAAATCTATAAATATGTGTTGATTTCCTTAATAAGCGATCTGTTTCTTAGCCCTCGTCTTCTGTTGTTACAGATGTATTAAGTGATTTTATTCAATGGGGAAATGGAAGTCTACCTCAAAACTCGTCACATCACCCAACTCACCCATATTAGTTCGTCAATCCAAGGTGATTCCAGATCGTCTCAGTACTGACTAACATTAGAATCAGCTAGAAGTAAGAATAAACCGTAAAAAGATACTACTAGCATGAAGTATCGGATTAATGAGATTTTGAATTTATAGGGGGGGAAGCTAATCTCCTTTTAATGTCTCGCATTCCTCTTGTGCTACTGAGTGCCAATAGACACTGCTTACAAAAAGTCAACATCTAGCATTGTCGAGTTTTTTTCATCTTAGGAGTCATATTTTTCGTTTTGATTATAGCTTGATTTCACACAGTACTTTTTTGGTAGAAGTAAGGAATTTTCAGTATGTATTATCGGTAGCCAAAACTTTGCAGACCAATCATTGATATCTGGTGGGCGTCGGCAGGAGATCGAACCCCAGACCATGTGCATAGTCGGCGGAAGTCCTAACCGCTGTGCTACCGACGGCATGGAATCAACCATGGAGGATATCTGTAGCTAAAGAGGGTGGTGCTTTTGGTGTTGTCGTGTTCTCTAAGGTGTTCAGTTTACTTGTAGAACTTCTCTTGTCCCTCTAGACAACACATATTAACCGCCAAATTTAAAGTGAAAATAAATGAGTTGAGTGAAACTTTGCTAGCATAAATGCAGTCTATTATTATTTTCTTGGATTCCGAGTGGAACATATGGCTTCAACAATACATCTCCACTTTGTTCTATTCTCTGCTGTCCACTTTAGCTGGACCCATGATTGATCAAGCTCTCTCATCTCTCCTCACACGATCTCCTCCAAGACATCTTCTCACCAACGACCCACTCGTCACTTCCCATTCGCATTCCGCACGAAGGATCTCCAGTCACTCTACTGCCTCCTCAACGTATGCCCAATCCATTTCTCGTACATATCTGTTGGGCAATCGTCGATTAGGCCAGCCGGCCATTTGACCTTCAGTATCGAGGTAGCCAAGATGGCAGCTGTTGATTATAGCCTGTAACTTATTGGAAATCTTTCTCGTAACATGCACGCCAAGATTCTGACCTGTAAAGAAGAAGTTACTGAGTGACTGTCTTCACATACATTTGTGTTGTATAGAATCCGAATCTTTTTCTTATTTTCGCAGGGTGCAGAAGATTTCCAAACTGATTTCAGGTTTATGAAAGCGTATCTTGTCTCTCCAATTCTGACTGGCTTTCACATCTTCATCCATACCCTCTGCTGACTGTGGTTGAGACCGTGCTTCCTAGATAAGTGAAGGAAGTCATCTCTGTGAAATTTCTCTCATTGATGTTGATGGGTGCTGGTTGTTACTGCTATTGAAGCCTAACACTTAAAAATCACCAAGTAACTACACTGTTTATGAGCATCTTCTGATAACACTGTTTTAATCAGTTATTTTGTTTGGAAATGTTAGTTTGTGTTACACGAATACCCACAGAAGAGTGTCAGTTGACTGACAACATTCCTTTTCAATATTTATTTACTCAGCGTACAGTGACAATCAAAAGATGACCCTGGCAAGTAAAGAAATTAAGCTTTTAGAGTGAATACCATGATGAGTAAAATTTGTTTTGATAAAGTCTCACAGTGTTATACAGTAATGTTTACTGATGACCACACGTTTTGAGCACAATTTATTACTGCTTATAATTATATCAAGGCACTACTCACACAACTTTCTAACTTCATTTAAATAATTCCATTATTTTTTTCATCGCTTGATTTGATTGGTAGCAGTAGCATTCTCCATATTTCCGGTATGAGTGATGAGTTATTCCCATTGAATGTGTTGGGTGTAGACTCGATGAACCAGACAGGATTCAGTAATCAACCTCTCTCTCCATCTACCAATATTACTTAGAACCCTCTTCCGCCCTATTGTGTGGTTGTGTGTTAATGCATGCATTGCAATTACTGAGCTTTTGCCTAAATTACTTATCCTCCCAGGGTCAACCATTCTTAACTTAGCTAAATTCTTATGTTCCGACAATTTGATTACCCCAATCTACTAGTTTGACCTATAGATTTGACCTCACAGTCATTGTAGGGTATTTTGTAAATTATATTATTTTGTTTAATTGGGTTCACCGGGTCTTTTAGCCTATGAAGCTTGTCTCTGAGTGAGTTTGTAGGTTTGAATGCCACTCTAATTCCTGCTTTATTTAGAATCCTACGTGTGGTCTCGGATGTCACCTCCTAATATGGTATAACAGTGGATGACTTATATTCTCTGTTATTTATGTTATCATTACTAGTTTCATAATTATTTTCATTTTGCTTTTGGCCTTTTCCTATCTTCCTAATGAATTTTATAGGATAGTTAGTTATTTAACACCAACGCTTCTTCTATCTGTTTTATTTCATCATGTAGCTCTTTTCTTGTGCTACTTAGTGCTATTGCTCGGTTCGTTAGACATTTAACTAAGCCTGCCTTCACAGACAAATAACGGATGAAATGAATTAGAGTCTAAATATCTATTAGAATGAGTTGGGTTTTTATAAACCCTAGTGTGCAGTTTACCTTCTTCTATTTGTTTTAGTTTACAATCTAACATCATAGCTAATTCTCCTTGTTCATTTTCCGATTCAAATGTGAATTTTATTCCCCTACTAGTGAGTTTATGTGTGTCACAGTGTTAAAAACAGAACATATCTCTAGCTTCTTGACACATATATATAACAGTGTGAGACTTTCCCAAAACATATTTTACCCATGATGGAATTATACTCCACTACAGTGCACAAGTTCTTTTCTTTTAGAGTGAATAATTCACCCATTTAGTTTGTATAGCTTAATGTCTACTTGTCCGGTAGCCAACTTAATGACTTCATAAACAAATCATTCGAGAATAATCCATTATAAATACATAAGTTAGCATTTATAGGCCAATGGATTGTATCCTAGTGGCTGATTCGTCTATAAGCTCATCTTCTAGCCGAAAGTTCCTTGGTTCAAACCCCAAATGGATTCGCACTGATGTAGAGCCCCAAACTAGGACGAACTAGTCGTCCAGTACACTATCGATTTTTAATGCTTCTGGAAGTGATATCAGCTGATGACCAAACCTGTAACCAATCATATCCCTTTAAACCAACACTTGAAAACAAATACATCTGTGCGTCGGTAGCTCAGCAGTTAGGACTCTCGCCGACCATGCACATGGTCCGGGGTTCCATCCCCTGCCGACGCACACCTGATATCTATGGTCGGCCTGCATAATTTAGGCTACCGATATCATATGCTGAAACTTCCATACTTGTACCAAAAATACTGTGTGGTTCAAGCTATAATCAAAAATTAAAAATTAAAAAAAAGAATAAGAGAAGTAGCCAATAAATTCATTTTGGGGAAATCTAAATTAAAACAACACATTTTTGAAAACACCAAACACAACCAACTAAGTAATCTTTATTTTAAAAATATTTACCTGACTAATTAAAACAGTAATTTCAGAAGCTGACATTTCTCGAATTGGACCATTGAACAAGACGATGCCAAGCACAACATAGTTTAGTACACCACCACAATAAGCATTAAGTCGAGTTAAATCTAAGTCGAAATTCAGAACAAAAAAAAAAAAGAACAAATGCAAAACGCAAGTGTGTTTCAGTGAAATTTTAATTGAAAATAAAAACAAGGGAGATAATATTTAAACTTCAAAATGTTGACAACTTGTTCATTTATTATTATTATTATTTACCAAGGAACGTTTATTGTGATGACGAATTGTTTTTGACGAACGAATAAAGGTGGTTTAAACTTCCTAATTGCCAGCTAGGGCTTCCACAAACCTCAGGATACGCCCGAAACACGTTTTATAGATAGGTTTAAAAGATGTGTAAATGCCAATTTTATGTCCTGTCTCTATAACAGGTTTCGCAATCGAGGAGCTAGGTCTCCTGTTTTCACCATTAATGCGTTCTGAAGATTCCATTTGTTTCTGAAGCCATTTAAGAATATGCTCTGAAGCCAGCCTTTACTTTCAGAGATCGATGAGTCCTCCTTATGTATGTGTGTCCGCACGTACATACAAATTGGTAAAAACAGTGAGATGTGACGTTATTTTTCGCATGTTCGTAGGGCTTAGATAGATATATTGGCTTTACATGCTCAATTATTATGATATTAGCTGCATAAAAAGTCTTTTTAACCACAGCAGCGTTCAGTATTTGTCTAGTCATCAAGCTGCTTTGATGTCCCATATAGGGTAGCTTGATGTACACGTCTTTCTTAGGCGCGAGTTGGAGAGTGGGTCTTGGTGTTCTGACTACTTTATATCTCCTGATGAACTTGTCTGGATAATTGTTATCAACCAGAGTTTGTGTCAATATTCTTTCTTCTCCATCAAGCGTGTCTTCAGTGCATATTCGTTGGATTCTACTGAAGAGGCGCACCTTACTAAGCCTCTTTTGTACCGAACAGGCCAGAAACTGTGGCAATTAAGATAATGTCCTGTCCAGGTATGTTTTCTATAAAAAGATCTTTTTATTGACCCATCAAGCCATCAGTCGACTAAGCAATATGTCTAGGAAAGATAGACAATTATCTTCCTCTTCTACAGATGTAAGTGATATGCTATTCTGAACTTCATTCATTCGATTTAAAGTTTAGGTGGCAGAACAAGGAGCTTAACACTTATGATTACAATATCATCTATATACCTTCCATAAAGTGGCACATTTTCGATTAAATCCTCCGATAAATTCTCAATGTACGACATATAAATATCTGCTAAAAAGGGTTCTAACGGACTTCCCATAGCAACACCATCAACATCTCGGAAACAATAGCCTTCAAATGTAAACCCAATATTGTTAGTACATAGAAGTAATAAATCCCTTAAGTAAGATATAGGGAACGGGATGAAAAAATTGTTTGTGGAAATACCATTTTGTGGAAGCCCTAGCAATCAGAAAGTTTAAACCGCCTTTATGCGTTCAAAAACAATTCGTCATCACACTAAACCTTTTTTAATAAATTTTGTTTTGATGCCATAACAGATGTACTATTACCTCTGTTATTTGGTTTAGTGGTCTTCATTAATAATATTATTACCTCCTTTAGTTTCTAGAAGAACGTAGAGCTTCAGCCACACATCTCCATTGAGTGCAGTTCTCCACCAACGTTTTTACCTGGCTCCACCTATGCCCACATGCTTTCATCTCCCCTTCACATGACCTCCTCCTCCATGTCACACTCTACACTCGAAACTCGACGACCGACTCGCCATTTTCCATTCGACCGGGTTCCACTCGAGTGAGATAGAGAGAGAGCCTGGCGTGTGATCCCACTTGATGGTTTGTTTTCTCAGCCGATTGTCAATTCACCTCCATTTCTTCCTACACACACATTTCTGTTGCACAATTGGTTCCTCCTGATTTGGTTTTCTCATTTCCAGAGATCCCTCCGTGTTTCTGATCTTTTCTGGCCGGCGATCTGATCTTGAGTAACAGTGAGCGAAGACAACTGTTGATGAAGGTCTATAGTTTGTTCGAAGTGCCTCTTTTGACGTGAGGTGGCACGGCGCCAAGTCTCTGATCCATAAAGCAGCACTGACTTCATATTGGAGTCCTATATGGGGATCTTATTTTTCATTCTGAGTGCTGTTGATCTCCACACAGGATTGAGAGTAAAGAAAGCTCGCCTTGCTTTCTCGATCCTCACTTTGATACCTTCATCAGTTCCGTCCGCCTGTAGCTGAAACGAAGCTTCCCAAGTCGATAAACCAGGTTGCTTCACTTAATACTAAGTAATTAATAAATAATCAGTAGGAATCTTTGCTTGACTAACAGTTTTGATGAGGTGACGGAGGCGATTAGTGCACCAATCGGATAGTCTTGGTGTAGTTGTATTCTGAGAGATGGATGATTTAATTGCAAAGCTTTGACTATCTGTCCAGATAACATCTTCAGTGCACAGACATCGACAAAATAATCACTTTGATGAAAGATGTCACTTACTTCACTTATCTAGCCATCACTTTATTAACTAGAGGTAACTTCACGGATGAGAATGTCAACGCAGGCTAGAATCAAAAAGTCAAGACACACCTTCATCACTCTGAAATCAATGTTGAAATCTTTCGTACTGAAAATAAAGAACAAATAAACTTCAGATTTTCAACATCAATGTTAAGTCAATCACTCAGTTCTTCTGTATGAGTCAGAAACTTGAAGTGTCACCAAAGGCATTTTAACAGCCTTTTACAGGCTTTATTCATCAACCGCTGCCTCCACACTGAAGATCAGATGACTGGCTAGCCAGAAAGAATTAGCAACAAGAAACTCTGGCTGGGAACAAACTAACCAAAAACCTTTTCAAAAGAATGGATACTGAACAAAGAGTACTCTTTTCGATAACCCCTTCATCATCAGGCTCTACAGTTATATACATTATACATTATAGCGAATGAATGAATGAATTAGTGTTATGAACAACATTAATGGTTAGACCTACTTCTTTTGAACACAGAGCACTGGTTGTTTGAGGCGAATCGCAATAGCCTCTGGTGTTTGGAGCATGCGGTGCTTCGATGATTTTGGCAGTTTATTAGGCACTCGATAGATGATAGAGAAAGATTCTTCAATGCTGGCTGGCTTTGTGGCCGGTCTGCACCAGATGGTCCAATATCGAACTGTTAATGTCTTTCACTACGCCTTTACTTAGCCAAAGTGGGAGATTTTCTCGAGCACGAAAAATCAAGTTCCTAGAGCAACGGCAAATATAATTCGCTCCACAAGCTTAGTTGAACTGGTAGATACAATTTGAAGTGCCTAGACTAGCCACTTCATCTTTCAGTCAAGAATTCACCATCGGTCGTGTAGAGAATAAGACGACTAGTTCACCAGCATTAAAAGTTCTTTGAACTGATTTGCTTAATTTCCTCGTAATTATCTTACTTGGTATATGTCACCTGAATTGTAGTCGTATATAAGGTGGCTTCTTGTTTACAGATAGTGAGTAGTCCTTTGCCGTTTTCTTCGTCATGTGGTTTTCTTTTGATAAATTTTTCGGGATAGCTATTTTTGATCAAAGTATCATATACAAAAGAAGCATGTCCAGCCCCTACTACTGCCCTGGCCTTCAGTACAGACTATAAATTCATGAATTTGTAATATTATCTTTCCTAATTTTTCTGACATTCAGTTTATTGTTATGTCGATGCTACTGAACTGTAATCCACTGATATTATTATTGATTCGATGTTATTTAAACAGCAACATTAATGTTGTGCATAACACTAATTCATTCATTTATTCACTATAATGTATATATTACTGTAGGGCCTAACGAAGAAGGGGTCATCGAAAAGAGTACTCTTTGTTCAGTATCCATTATTTTGAAAATTTTAATGGCGATTTTAATCAGCCAAAAGCCTTTGCCTGAAGAAACGTGCCAAAAAATGAAGATGGATAGGACACACGCTGAGGAGACCGTCAGCTGACATTACACGCCAGGCGATCGCTCAAGCAGAACTCTGGTGAAAAACGACGAGTTGGGTATTCAAGGGAGAGAAAGGTAGAGAAAATCAAATGGGGGGAGATGAAAGTCTATAGGCAATCTTGGAGCCAGAAAAAAGAGGACTGCGTGGAGCAGGACAAAATGGGGACGTGCTGTTGAAGCGATATGTTCCACTCAAAACTCACAATCTCCAGAAACAACCAGTCACGTTTAACATTTTCAGTAGAGGTGACTCATAAGCTCATAGAGAATTCTAAAAGCTTCACTTCACATAGCAGTCTGTACTTAGGAATGTTGTCTAGAAAGGTAAACAAAGCTTCACAAATAAATCATATTCAGCTGAGAGAATATAACTACACAACAAAGTGTTTCACTTAAGTTTTGGTTTGTAGGGATTTGTAGGGATTGAGCTGACATTGGTTAGAGAACCATTGGGACACCTGGGAGTACTGGACAGCTGTTTCGTCCTAGTTTAGGACTCTTCACAGTACGGATCCCGGTAGGTGCGTACTAGGAGGAAATAGCTGTCCAGTACTCCCTGTAGGTTTTCCAATGGTTCTCTAACCAATGTCAGCTCATAATGAAATCCTGTAACCAATCAAATCCCCATGAATTAACACCTGAATATCGATGAGGTGCTCACTAGCGACTTCCCTTATTCAGGTAGGCAGTTATCTGGAGTACTGGTGAGAATTCGTGACCAGTAGGGTGCAGCAGGTCGGGTGTGAGGACAAATACTCACCGAAGACACTGGCTAGGGGTCGCGCTATGTCGTGAAATGGCTGGCAGAAGTTAGAATTCATGGGCCTTTGGATAGGGTCCCAGTGGCTTAATAGTATATGGGCCCACCTTGTAACCAGAAGGTCCTGGGTTCGAATCGCAGTGGGGTGGGTGCGTACTGATGAATAGTCACAAACTGGGACAAAACAACTGTCCGGTACTCCCAGGTTTTCCAATGGTTCTTTAACCAAAAGTGTTTCATTATTATTATCTCTGTTAATGATGGTAACTTCAAAACTTGAACCTTCAGAAGTGAATAATTGTGTTACACAACTTGTTCAATATCCACAGTATAACACTGATGGTCAGTTTGCCTAGTCATTCAAGTATAATTAATTTTCTTGAATTAGAGACTAAACAGTGTTACCTGGTTGAGAAATAATTTATGCTCTAAACGTTATCAGGAAATAGTCCTGTATCACTGTAAGTGTAAGCGCTTTTATCAAGTTCTATTCTTACACCAATGCAATGCACTTTTGTAATTCCTTTAAATTCCTAGTGGAACATAGGGCTTCAGGCTGGAGGCTTCGAAGTTTCGGTAGCAGTGGTGCTTTATTTTTACAGGATGGGGTTGCTAGCCTGTCTCCTGCCCAAACTTCCCTCTTTACCAGTCTTATTACTGGCTTAACGAGGTGAAGGAGTGCGTTTACAATATTGTGGCTGAATGGTATACGAGCTTGCTGGCCTTGTAACTGGAAGGTTCTGGGTTCGAAACCTGGCAGTGGGTGCGTAATTCCGATGATTCCCAAACTAGGCTGATGAAACAGCTGTCTGGCAGTACTCCCAGCTGGTGGTTTTCAATAGTTCTCTAACTGATATCAATCAATCCGTGATCAACCTGTAAAAATAAGAGACAATGTTTTGAATATGGAACTCAGGACTCTTAACTTAGCTACAGTGTCTAAGATTCACTTATCAGATTATTCCAAGAATAGAAAACCAACAAAATCTGACAGGTCAAATGTATAAGTCGGTTGCTTCCTTAGTGGCCAATCCCTGGAAGTACAGCGTGGAACTAATTAGGTCGAAAATCCGATCTCTAATTGCAGTACTGGGTGACATGAGTGAGATTCTCCAGAAGGGAATTCATTCCCATAAGACTACAGATACGTCTCACTGATGAGTTGTTAATCTATACGACAATCAGGTCCAGCACTTCCTGCTGCTGCTTGCCTCTGACAAATTGTTTCCCTAATGAATTGACAACTAATACAAGAAACAGAGATAATAGCTGAGGACCTACCTCAAATATCCCGTATGCATTTACTAGTTTTAAAGCAATGACTAGTTCACTCGAAACATGTAAACTAAGTATTCAGGCAGTGTAGTAACTTCTTCGGCAAACTGACTTTTTACAGCTACAATGCATAGAAAGAAGCTCCACAACAATACTTTATGCAATTAAACACAAACCATACAACAGGATGGAGCGAAATGACAGTCTACCAAAGTTCAAGAAAGAAATTCATAACTAAAGTCACATTTTATCCAATCAACTGAGAATGAATGCAATTCGTATGTTTATTTATTTATTTATTTTTCAAATAATTTTATTCCTTTACTTTCCCAGTGGAACAAACGGATTCAAGCTAGAGGCTTCGAAGTTTCGGTAGCAGTAGTGCTTTATTTTTACGCGACAGGGTTGCTAACCTGTTTCACGACCAACCTCCCGTCTTTACCAGTGCGTCCGTAGCCGAAACACCTGAGTGCTTGGTGAGCATTCCATTCTATGTGCCACCAAAGCACTTTTAAACCAGGCAGTACTAAACAGCTGTATTGGTCCGTCCTAGTTTGGGACCCATCGACAGTAAACACCCACTGGATCTCGAGCCCAGTACCCTCCGGTTACAAGGCAATCTCGCAGACCATTCAGCCATTGAGACCAGTAATTTTCGTATGACAGAACATCTATCCTTAAGACAAATACAAAAAAGAAGGAGAACTAGATTTAAGACGGATGATACGCCATCTAGTGAATACTGTCTCTCCAGGTGATCTATATGCTAAGTGTTACAAGTGTTACACATTTATTAATAGTGAAAGGTGTAGTTTTTAACTTTAGCCACAGGGAATACACAAGAATTCCTTTCTCTCTCTATTTATCTCTTATAACTGATTCATTAGGATAACTAATGTCATGGAATATTGAAAAAGCTTTTTAAAAAAAGACAAAAAACAAACAAAACAATTACATTTAATACAAATCGATGAAGTACACAGTGAAATAATGTAGTAAGCTTACAGAATACAACAGAATTTCGATTAATAAAAACTCGTATAGCATGAAATAATTGATTGAATGAATTCGATGCAATGACATTAAGCGATTCACCAAAATTAAGAAATGCAGCACTTTCAACTGAACATCGTAGTTTAGTATGAATAAATCTATTAGAGGAAGAGAAATTAATAAACAGCAGACTAATAGTAATTGAAAGACACTATAACATCACGCTTTATACTATGCATGTGTATATATCATAGAAATAACCTGATAAGTAGAAGATAAAGTTCACATATATGCTTATGTGTACCATGGATGTGCAATTCCAATTTGACAACACACTCTTTACCGCCAAATAGATGGTGTAGCTATGGGCAGTCCACTTAGCCCTCCCTGTTTTAGCAGATATATTCATGTCCAACCTTGAAAGTACAAAGTTGAAGCATGCAATCGACGAAACAACTTTCTACTGTCGATATGTTGATGACACATTTATAGTATGCAAAAATGAAAGTCATGCTACACACTTACTCAGATTATTCAGTGATGCACACACCAATATTGAGTTTACTAGGGAAAATGAAAGTGACGGAAAGTTTCACTTCCTTGACATTGCCATGGAACGCCTAGAAGACGGTAGTCTTCAAAAGTCAGTTTATTGAAAGCCTACATGGAAAGGACAATACTTACAGTTTAATAGTTTTTATCCAAATAGCTTTAAACGCGAACTAGTCAAGACTCTATACTATAGAGCCAAGAGATTCATGCTATGTCATGAATTGGCTAAAGTTAGAACCCTAGAGGTGAGTACCTACTGATGGAGATTCCCAAACTAGGCTGACGAAACAGCTGTCCAGTACTCCCAGCTGGTTAGCCAGTGGTTCTCTAACTGATATCAGCTCATAAGGAAATCCTCCAACCTCCTCAAACAAAATCTGTACATAACCAACAATTGAAAAGAGATCCTTAAAGAACATGACCTACAATGGTGATTGTATCTCTGACATTCTGGCTTCTTAAAAAAATCGACACAGTAGATGTACGACAACATGCTCACTACCATAACCCCGCCTACTTTCGGTTAGATGAAAGGTGATATCATTGGACTATATTGCTGAAGACTGTATGTAATATTAGCAATGAAATACTTATCCAGTCTCCCCCTAGCTTTTAGTGGCATTGAAACCAACTATTCCCCCACAATTGAGCAACTTAGTGATGATGTTATGCATGTGCCATACTTCATCATACTGGTTTCATCTAATCAATCACAGCCTTTCCGACTGCTATTTTAGAGAAAATTCAAAGTAGAGAACGCAGAATTCCAGTTTATCAGTTCAAGATTTGTTTAAACAATCCATTTTTGTATTAAATTGGGGATGGTGACTAGCAGTGGAATCCAGGATGCGAATTTCGTCCTATTTTGGACTCTTCATCTGGATGTGCCTGCATTTCTCAGTGAGTCATGATATTCCCACCGAGGCTCGAACCCAGTACCCATAGTTTCAAACGCCAAAGCGTTATCCACCAGACCACTTAGGCCACTAGAGCCACCTCTTGTGCAACGGGTCATATTAATTATTGAATTGAATTTTCGATTTTCCCGTCGATTGATTGGACCGAAGTGCTTGGTCTCAGATTGACATGTCGGCTTCTTGTGTAGATACCTCGATGATTTCTGGGCATTTAATTAGTATTTCATTGGGCACTGGGTTCGAGCCTCGGTGGAAACATCATCATTCACTGAGAAATGAAAATACATTCAGCTGACGGGTCCCAAATAGGACGAAATGCGCATCCTGGCTGGATTTCACTGCTAGTCACTATCCACCAATTAAATACTAATTAAACGCCCAGACATCGTCGAAGCATCTGCACAAGAAGCCAACATGTCAACCTGAGACCGAGCACTTCAGTCCAATCAATCGACGGGAAAATCAAAAATTCAATTAAATCCATTTTTGTGTACTTCCTACAATAATTCAATCTCATTCAACACTTCTACAAACTTTTGCAAATATTTATTTATTAAATGTTGATTTTCAGGGATTTGATTGGCTACAAGTACCATCACTAGCTGAAATCAGTTAGAGAACTATTAGATAGTTAGAGAGTATTGGTGTACAGTTGTTTCGCCCTAGTTTGGTACTCTTTAGCAGCATTCTCCAGTTTCAAAACGACAAAATTGTTCAAATCAGTTAAAAATAAAATTCTACAATACTGAAAATAAAAATAATGGAATGGTTGGTCCAGACGACGTTAGTATACTGCAAAGTAAACTGAGAATGCCTTATTCGACTGACTGACTGACTGACTGTAGAACAGAACAAAAGCATCCATACTTCTACCATTGTCTTCAGGCTATGAAATGTTGTCTATAGTTACTTTAAAAATAACTGTATATCATTAGTCTTACACAGAGCACACCGACACCCATCGAATTTATAGACAAGTCTCTTGGTCTAATGAGAAAATGGTATTAAAAGTTAGTACACAGCACCAAAATCTAACATAATCAATAAAGGTACATGTTGGCTGTTGACCTTTGCTCATTATACACCAAAACTGAATCAAAATTCTGTATAAAAAATTATTACAGAAATAAATCAAAAACAAACGACATTTCAAAGAACACTTCTAACCCTTTCGTCAATAAATAAATATCTGAGTAAGAAAGACATTTTTAAAGCATTGGTTTGTAGGCATTTAGTTGATTGGTTACAGGATTTCATTATGAGCTGACATTGGTTAGAGAACCATTGGAAAATCTGGGGTGCAGCAGGTCGGGTGTGAGAATAAATACTCTCCGAAGACATTGGCTAGCGGTTGCGCTATATCGTGAATTCTCAGAAGTTAGAATTCATGAACTGGCCATTGGATTGGGTCCCAATGGCTTAATGGTATACGAGCTCGCCTTGTAACCAGAAGGTCTTGGTTTGAGCCCCGGTGGGTGAAGAGGGCCAAACTAGGACGGAGGAAACAGCTGTCCAGTACTCCAGGTTTTCCAATGGTTATCTAACTAATGTCAGCTCATGATGATAACATCCTGTAACTAAAGAAATTTTTCTCCAAAACGTTAAAAAAACAACATTTTTTTAAAAAAAAGAAGTAAAATATTTACCTGAAATTTCCTTCCTGTTTTTGATGTTCATATGATGCTGACGAACTCCAAGAGGCGAAATATCGAGTAATCAAAGCAAATATAGCAAATAGGATATACGCTGAGATTGGACCTAACCAACCAGCTCTAGATTAACAGACATGGTTAGTTAGATAATCAAGCATGTACAATAAAAAAATTACTTGTTTACACACATATATGTGTAGAATATAATCAATAGGGGATTTAAAGCTACCGAGACAATCACTTTAGTGAGTAGATCACAGACTACATTAATATCTTGAGTAATTCGTTGATCACTGGAAGAAAGGAAGATAACTAAAATGATCTGATATGATATCTTTGACTTACGGATTGTCTAAATCGATGAGTGTATTTAGAGCATAAAAATTTCTTCGTTTCAAGTAAACATTTTGTAAATTTTTTGTTAAAACTTCACGTAAGATAAGTGATAAATGTCCCATGACCATATTTTGTACACCTAATGCCTAATAAGTTAAAAAAAAAAAAGACAAACGATACCAGGTAGAATTCAATGTGTTATTAATAGACAAAAAGCTCAGTTCTCCACAAGTTCGCCGAAGCAATCTCTTTAAATATTCCCATTTTTAACATTAGAACAAGACATATAAGTGAGCAATATTGTTGTTTTCAATTAGATCTTCATCAGGCTTTACTCTAGTTTACATTGATATATATATGTAAAGTTATCTATCGAATTCCATCGAGCCCTTCGAATGGAATTAGAATCTGTCCTTTACACATAGCTGAAGCTACGGGAATTAATTTGAGAGAACAATCCTAGACTTTGTATACAACAAAAGAAGTTTGTTCTACCTTTGTCTTTCCCTTGCTTAACCTAGGTGAATTCTATTCAAAACCCTCCCACACTTTCTTGTTTTCCATCTCCTTCGTATTTTTATGATATTTATTTAAACTCTGATTATCTATCCACTTCACCTTTAGTATTACGTAACTTTTAAGATTTGACCTAATCATTTATTTATTGAATTGTCTACACTGACACACATATTACTACCTTTGTTATTCTTATCGCCACCTGCATAAACCGTATTATCAATATTTTGTTATCATTATAATCATCGTTATTAACTACGTTCAAAAACCACATTATTATTGTTATTATTTGATCCACAAAATCGCCGTCATTGGTTAAAAATCTTTATACGAAAATTTATGTAAATTAGAGTAAAGCCTGATGAAGGAATCTCTATCAAACTCCTGAAATCCGATTTATGTATTCAGAAAGAAGCAGTAACCAGTCTTTCCTTGCCCTGCTACCTGGTTACTGGATGTCATTATTCGCTCTTTCATTTGATTGTGTAATATTTGGCTTTAACCTCACCCTCACCACAACCTTTGATATAGTGTAATTTTGCTTGTCTCTTGTTTCTATGATTTGAGTTGAACTCAGTACATTGTTACCCAACGTATTAGTGACCCATTATCTTACGCATCTCTTGTCTTTATTATGTAACTTTCTCACCATTGTATGCATACATTTACTTTGTTTAAACTTGAACTCCCTGTGTAAAAGCTACATAAGTTTAATTTTCTGAGCAATGTTCACCAACTCCTGAACCTCTTGTCAACTGACATCATGTAAAATTTGCAAGCATTTTAAAACTTTTCCGTACATCAACTTAATAATAATTTCTTTAGGCTATATACGCAGCAGCTAGCTGATGAGAAGCCAATGAAATAAGCAATGGTGGTACCCCGTATTATTCCTGCTTTATTCAAGTTCATAAAGGGGATTCATATAAATGTATGAAGTTTCATTAAAATTGTCTTGATAAAGTTCAGTGAAAGTTATGAACTAGTTGTTTTAAAACATCCACAACAACAACAATAAAACCAGTCAGTTAATCTGCCACCACCAACCAACTGCACAACCTCTATGTGATTAGTGAAGAAGGATGAGGCGAAAAGGACTAAAGACGTCTAACCACCAGTTCCTACTGTAAGACAGTAAGAAATATTGATTGAAGAGACCAACTGCAAGTCTTGTATGGGGTAAGCAAGGAAGCAAGACTCATTCACAAGGTAGAATACTTAAACAAGTGGAGATGGACAATACTTTAATATCAAATGAATAATTCATTTTAAAACAAACGATAGGGGAAATGATTGCAACTGTCTATTTCACACAGATGTACATAATATTTCGAAATAAAAAGATAATTTCAAGTTCAGGACAAGGATGAAGACTGTTTGATGTCCCCAGTCCTTGAGATTTCATCAAGGTTTAACGTTTAACTAGAAAGCTTGTGAACACCATGCGCATTATTATTATTGTTCCCTTGAGTTCCTAGTGGAACATAGGGATTCAGCTGCACGTCTACACTTGCTTCTGTCTTCTACTTTACTTTTCACCTACATCCATGCTAGTCCATACTCTTTCAACTCCTCCTCATACGATCTCCTCCATGTCACCATTGCACTGACGTCACACTCGACACTTCCCTTTCGAGTTCCACTCGAGCAATGGCCTGATGCGCACGCGATGTCACCCAGCGGCCTCCTCAGCAGCGAGTGTCAAATCCATCTCCACTTTCTCCTGCATATTTGTTGGTTGGCAATTGGTTCTTGTTCTGTTTGTTCCCAGCCATAGTCTCTTGTTGGTGATTCTTTCCAGCCTGGCCATCTGATCTTCAGTATAGAACCAGCAAAGACAGTTGTTGGTTGATAAAGGTCTGGTGTGCAACAGGCTGTTGTTGGAAATATTGTTTGTGACCCGCCCTCTAAGTTTCTGATCCGTTTAGAAGAACTGACTGACTTCACGTTTGTATTGTATTGAAAATCCGACCGAGTTTTGTTGTTGTTGATTCTGAGTGACGAATATTTCGAGATTGGTTTCAGGTTGGTTGATGAATGTGTTTCTTGCTCTCCTCCCGATTCTCGCTGGATTTGACATGCTCGTCCGTTCCGACTGCGTGTAGTGGAGACAATGCTCAATGCTAGATAAGTGAGTGAATTAACCTCTTTCAAATCCCTCTCGTTGATGGTGATTGGCACTGGATGTTGCTGTTGTTGTTGGTTGATTGGTTATTTTCTTAACCTCCGTCTTGTCTATGTTCTCCTGGAGTCCTGTCTTCTCTGGCTGCTTCTTCGACCAGTTTGTTGGTTTTCGCTTGTAAGTCTTCGATTTTGTGTAACATCAAACATGAATCATCCACGCGCGAAATTCAGGTCTTCTAGGTTCTTCACGTCGGTCCAGGATATCCTTGTCTTCTCGTTTCCCACCCACTGTCTGACGCATAATCCAGTCCACCACATTAACTTAACGGAAATTCAATGTAATTCTTTTTGCTTTCCTGTTATTACAATATGTTTGTGTTACTCAAAGTATGACAAGTCATGTTACTTCTATGAAGACATTGAATGTGCTCAAGGAATTATACAGCGCTAATTCAAGTTGTACAGAAAGTTGTAGATCTTTTAGACGATATTCGATATATCAGGCAAGAGTATGAATGTGTTAATTAGCACAGGGAGAAAATCACGTTAAAATGCCTCACAGGTACTTACTGTAATTTCCTACTAAATTGTAGACGTTTTATCAAAACTTTGACTGCTTTTTTGTGTCCAGAATTTGAAATTAATTAACGTAAAATGTCTAAATGATTGTGTTTTAAACTTGCCAGTGGAGGCAGATAGCAAGCCCCACATGACTGCATGAAGCAACACTAGCTACTTGGTTTCTTTCACTTTCATACTATGCAGAATTCCCTAGTCATATAATTTTGATGTCATTTGTTATCCATAGAAATCAGTTAATTTATAATCTGATAATGATAGAATGCTTTTCAACTTATTTGCATCTTATAGACAGTCATCATCTTACCATCAAAGTTCAAACAAACAATATTTCACTAGTCGAAGCTGGTTTTTAGAACACATTGATCCCTCAAGACATAATAAACCAAGGAATCCACGTATCCATGTATTCCTTTAAGTTCCCAGTGAAACATAGGGATTCAAGCTAAAGGCTTGAAGTTTCAGTGGCAGTGGTGTTTATTGATATAAGTATAAAACTTGGGCACTGTGGTAGATTATAACTCCATTATGGATAAGATTTATTTTTATAAATAACACAGTGTTATTATTTTATTATTATTGCTCCCTTGGGTTCCTAATGGAACATAGGGCTTCAACTGCACGTCTCCATTTTCTTCTGTCCTCTGCTGTACTTTTCGCCTGCATCCATGTTAGTCCATACTGTTTCAACTCCTCTTCACACGATCTCCTCCATGTCACCCTTGCACTGACGTCCCACACGCCGCTTCCCTTTCGGGTTCCACTCGAGGGCTTGGCGCGCGATGTCACCCAGCGGTCTCCTCAGCGAGTGTCCGATCCATCTCCACTTTCTCCTGCATATTTGTTGGGCGATTGGTTCTTGCTTTGTTTGTTCCCATAATTCCTTGTTGGTGATTCTTTCCGGCCATCTGATCTTCAGTATTGAGCGAAGACAGTTGTTAATAAAGGTCTGCAGCCTTTTGGAAATATTCTTTGTGACCCGCCAAGTTTCTGATCCGTATAGAAGAACTGACTTTACGTTTGTATTGAAAATCCGAATTTTGTTGGTGATGCTGAGTGACGAAGATTTCCAGATTGATTTCAGGTTGATGAATGTGTTTCTCGCCTTCCCGATTCTCGATTTGACATCCTCGTCCGCTCCTCCTGTAGTTGAGACAATGCTCCCTAGATAAGTGAATGAAGTAACCTCTTTCAAATCCCTCCCGTTGATGGTGATTGACGTTGGATGTTGTTGCTGTTGTTGGTTGGTTATTTTCATAACCTCCGTCTTGTCTATGTTCTCCTGCTTCTTCGACCAGTTTGTCGGTTTTCGCTTGTAAGTCTTCGATTGTGTGTGACATCAAACATAAATCATCCGCGAAATCCAGGTCTTCTAGGTTCTTCACGTCGGTCCAGGATATTCCTGTCTTCTCGTTTCACACTGTCTGACGCATAATCCAGTCCACCACAATTAGGAATATCATTGGTGATAATAAGCACCCTTGTCTGACTCCTGTGTTTACTCCAAACGCCTCGCTGAGTTTTCCGTTGTGGATCACTTGACATGGCCGTTGTCGTACAGCTGTTGAATAAGGTTGATGAATATTTGGGGTACGCCATAGTACTCGAGTAATTTCCAAATTACTTCACGATCAACGCTGTCGAAGGCCTTCTCAAAGTCTATAAAGTTGAGGTAGAGGTTTGATTGCCATTCCATGCTTTGTTCTGTGATGATGATGCGTAGAGTTGCAATTTGGTCAGTACATGATTTGCCTTTCCTGAATCCAGCTTGTTCTGGTCGGAGTTCTGTCTCCAGTGCGTCCTTTAATCTCTCCAGGATGATGCGACTCAGGATTTTACTTGGCGTCGATAGGAGCATGATTCCTCGCCAGTTCTTGCAGAGTCCTAAGTCGCCCTTCTTTGGTAGTTTCACGAGGTAACCTTTCCTCCAGTCAGTAGGCACCTTTCCCTCCTTCCAGACCTTTTGCAATAATGGAGTCAGCATGTCTGCTGTAGTCTCTGGGTCTGCTTTCAGTGCTTCAGGGGGTATTCCATCTGGTCCGGCTGCTTTTCCAGCTTTCAGAAGCTTGATTGCGTTCAAGACTTCAGCTCTCGTTGGAGGATTGGTGTCAACTTGCAGTTGTGTGCGCGCTGTTGTTGGTATTTCTGGACGGGTTGCAGGTGATGGTCGGTTCAAGAGTCCTTTGAAGTGATCCGCCCATTGTTTAATCTGTTTTTCTTCCTTGGTAATGGGTTCCCTTGGCTGTCTTTTATAGGTTTCGCTTGTGTTGATCTCTTCCCGGATAGAGATTTGGTTATCTGATATAGTGTCCTCAGGTCCCTTTTGCCTGCTGCCTTCTAGCTTCAGTGGCCAGGTTGTCGTAGAATCGTCTTTTGTCCTTCCTAGCACTTTTCTTCACTTCTTTGTCCAGTGCTTGTAAGTTGAGCTCATCGTCTCCTTCTCCTGTCCGTCCTTGCATTGAATCATTTTCTCTTTCACCATTCTCCTCTCTTCTATTAATTTCCAAGTGTCCGTTGAGAGCCATTCCTTGTCTTGTCTCTTCTTTCTTCCTAGAACCGTTGAACACGTTTCGTTGAGAATCGCCTTCAGAGACTTCCAATGTTCTTCCACGCATGATTCTTCAGTGATGTCGCGTAGTGTTTCCTGCTTTGCTCTGACAGTTGCAGTGAAGGTGTCTTTTGTGGTTGTGTCCTTCAGTAATTGAGTGTTGAACTTGCATTGTGGCCTATCCCCAGCTATCCTCGAGGCTTTTAGTTTCACCTTGAAAGTCCCTTGTACTAGATAGTGGTCTGAACCCACATCTGCTCCTCTCCTTGACCTTGTGTCCAGTAGGCTCCGTCTCCACTTTCTTGAAATTGAGATGAAGTCTATTTGGTTCTTGGTGTTTCCATCTGGTGAAATCCATGTCGTCTTGTGTATATCCTTGTGTTTGAACACACTACCGCCAATCACCAAATCATTGAAGGCGCAGAAGTCTGAGAAGAGTTCACCATTGTCGTTCATTTCACCGAGGGCCTCACGACCCATGGTGAGTTCTCTTCCTGTGTTGTCTCCTCCCAGCTTCGCATTCATGTCGCCCATCAGGATTTTGATATCGCCATTTGGGACGTTGTCCATTATTGCTTGTAGTTGTCTGTAGAACGCCTCCTTCTTCTCTTGTTCTGAGACGTTTGTAGGCGCATAACATTGAATGACTGTAACTTTCCTTCCTTTTGAGTTGAACCTGGCTGTCATTATCCTGGAGGAGATTGGTTCCCACTGCATGAGAGCTTTGGCTGCTGTTGGTGACATCATGATGGCCACTCCCTCGGTGTGCTCGTGGTTGTCCTCTGGGTGGCCGGAAAAGATTACTGTCTCTCCAGTAGGTAGTTGGCACCTTCCAGTTCCGTTCCATCTGCTTTCGCAGTGTTGCACAGTATTATTTACTGATGACCACATTTCGAGCATAAACTATTGCAACTCATTAGCATATCACACAACTTTTTTCCCTTCATTTAAACACATGTGTGAAATTGATCAGATATTTGAATAAAAATCATTATAGGATAGAGTGCATTCAGAAATAATAATAATATGAGTGTTATTGATCAATTACAATCAGAGTGTTTTTATAGTCATAATAAGAGTAACTTGTTAGAATGTTGTGATGTGTTCAGAAAAATGTTCAGCAATTGCACTACATGCATTAACGCAGAACTATACAATAGAGTGGGGGGGGAGGATTAACATTCTAAGAAGTAACCTATGTAGGTGGAGAGAGAGAGATTGATTACTGAATCCTTGTTCATCGGGTCTACAGCCAACAAAACGCATACAACAGAAATGACTCAACGCAAATACCAGAAATATGCATGGAAGATATTATTACCGCCAGTCAGTCAGTCAGTCAAATCAGAGGAGGATAATAAATAATCTTAAAATTCTATTTCAATTCAAGCACATCACAACATTCTAACAAGTTAGTTGTTATGACTAAATAAAAACACTCGTCTTATTTCCCATCTGATTGTAATTGATCAATAACACTCATATTATTATTATTATTATTATTCCTGAATGCACATTATCTCATACTGATTTTTATTCAAATATCTTGTCAATGCCACATTTATATAAATTAAGGAAAAAAGTTGTGTGAGTAGTGTCTTGATATGACTATGAGCAATAGTTTGTGCTTGAAAAGTCATCGGTTAATATTACTGTACAACACTGTCTGACTTATCAAAATAAAATCTTATCCATAATGAGGCAGTGGTGTTTATTTCTACGGGATGGGGTTGCTAGCCTGTCTGATGCTCAACCTTCTCTATTTACCAGTCTTATTACTGGCTTAACGAAGTAAAAAAGTGCATCGTCGGCTGGGAATAGAACTCAGAACCACCTGAGTGGTCGGATGCACAAACTAAGGCATAGTGATGTCTGAATTACTTTTAAATGCTACATTACTAAACTTTCCAATCAATTAAATATAAACAAATGCATATAATAATATTACTTACTAAAGAACCACTAAATATATACATAATTGACAATTTTAATGTCCATATAAATCGATCATAATGTTTAGTAGTCAGTGCAGCAAAGAAATTTGATGCAATCAATCCAATTTGGTAAGCAGCATATTCATCTGTACAAAGGAGCGGATCACTCTTCAAAATTTGTCTAATGTAACAACTTACAAAAACCGGCGTTTATAATAAGTAATAAGATAAAGAGTAATGGCATAAAACATTCTTTTTTTAATTGTCTCCACAGATATCGAATGAAATTGATAAGGAAACGAATTCCAAAACTAACACTGTAAGAAACGATTTCAATTAATTAATTAATTACGAATAGGAAGTAGTAAGCTATACCTTTTACGTTCCTTGTCCATATAAACCAGAATGTACAAGGTAAATCAGAGGCTCTGTCTACCTAAAAGTATAAATGAATAGAAAAAACGAAGATCACTAAGAGTATTGTTTTTTTATCAAAATTACATGAGCAATACTTACTGAACATAGAAGAAGATAGAGGTTATGAAAATAACCAATCAACCAACCAACCAACCACCACACCAACAACAACAACAGCAACATCCAGTGCCAATCACCATCAACGAGAGGGATTTGAAAGAGGTTAATTCATTCACTTATCTAGCATTGAGCATTGTCTCAACTACACGCAGTCGGAACGGACGAAAATGTCAAATCGAGCGAGAATCGGGAAGGCGAGCAAGAAACACATTCATCAACCAACCTGAAACCAATCTCGAAATATTCGTCACTCAGAATCAACAACAACAAAACTCGGTCGGATTTTCAATACAATACAAACGTGAAGTCAGTCAGTTCTTCTAAACGGATCAGAAACTTAGAGGGCGGGTCACAAACAATATTTCCAACAGCAGCCTGTTGCACACCAGACCTTTATCAACAACAACTGTCTTCGCTGGCTCTATACTGAAGATCAGATGGCCAGGCTGGAAAGAATCACCAACAAGAGACTATGGCTGGGAACAAACAGAACAAGAACCAATCGCCAACCAACAAATATGTAGGAGAAAGTGGAGATGGATTTGACACTCGCTGCTGAGGAGGCCGCTGGGTGACATCGCGTGCGCATCAGGCCATTGCTCGAGTGGAACCCGAAAGGGAAGTGTCGAGTGTGACGTGAGTGCAAGGGTGACATGGAGGAGATCGTGTGAGGAGGAGTTGAAAGAGTGTGGACTAGCATGGATGTAGGTGAAAAGTACAGTAGAAGACAGAAGCAAGTGTAGACGTGCAGCTGAATCTCTGTGTTCCACTAGGAACTCAAGGGAACAATAATAATAATACTTACTAAATCTTTGAAAATAGAAGATAAATTTGTCTGAATACGTCTAGTTAAGACTTGACAAATAAAAAGATAAAAGTTCACTTGGAATTGTTATTTAAAGATAAACTTAACTAATATGACTTCTTTATTTTTAAATCGTGGAAAATACCCAACGGGACACTAGAGGGGAAAGAACAAGAAGTTCGGCAAACATATCTTTCCGGTGACTTCATTCTCAAAAGCACTGGTACAATCACATTGACATACATGATTCTGTGTAAATAAGATTATTACTTAATTCCACATAGTAACGAAGGAGATTAAGGGTCATGTAGGTCCAATCGAAACGTGTTAGGGAACATCATTCTGCATGGCTGCAAAGAGGAGGCACTGGGTTAGTCAATAGCACCATAATTGGACACCTCGTCAACTCTTGTCACAACATCTCACCTGACTCATCATTCAAAGTCATTTACAAAGTAAACAAAAATCCACCAAAGACAGTGTGTTGCCGAATTGTTTTTACTGCATAAGCCCTTACTATATGCCTCGAAAACCGCAGCTATGTATTCAAAAGAAACTGGTTCAACCCCTACATTTACTGTGGGTCAAGTTCGGTTAATCTCCTTTGGTTCCGGTGTTTTCATCCCCTTCATTTCCCCTTTCTTTCAGTTTTAAAATGTTATCCTTTCAACTTGTTCCTATGCTCTTCCTATTCATACCTTTAGTCGTTACGAAACTATGTACTAATCCCGTGTAATTTTGTTTCCAAGCCCCTTGTAATCTATATTCACACCTCCAAACTTTCATGTCAAGTTGAAAATTATTATGACCCTAAATCTCCTTCGTAATTATGTGGAATTAGATAATAATTGTATCTATGTAAACTTAAGTATATAAATGCGACTGTACAGATTTTGAGAATGAAATCACTGGAAATATATCTTTGCTAAACTTCTTTATCGTTTGGATATGAGGTCATAGACAATTTCACTGGTGATAATGAAAAAGGGACACGCTAATTTTAAATGAAAAGAATGGTCTCTCAATCCAGACCAATCGACTCTGGCAACCAAATATGCCCACAAGCCAGTATTATATACAAACTACGCAGAAATCTTCTAAGTAGTGTACTAACTAAACTTTTTAAAACTGTGAAAAGTATAGAAATTATTTTTCAAGCCTTAATTCCAGGGTTTCCAGTCATTAGGTGAGCAATCCACTTATTTTGCAAGCATATATCGGATTTTAAAGTATCTTTCTTTATCTTATCTGATCATCACATCCACAAGCAGCTTTCAATTTTTGTTTCTCACTATTGAATTGTAAGATATTCACTTACTTTTCAAGCATTAGTTTTTGTAGGGATTGTGTTTTGATTGGACAGAGGGTTTCATCATGGGCTGACACTGGTTAGAGAACCATTGGAAAACCAGCTGGGAGCACTGTCAGACAACTGTTGCACCAGTCTTGTTTGGGACTCTCCATCAGTACACACCCACTGCCACGGTTCAACCCCACGACCTTCTGGTTACAAGACAAGCTAGTTCGTAGACCATTAATTTTTTTATTACAGCTTGATTCCACACCGTATTTTTGGTACAAGTATGGAATTTTCAGCGTGGATATCGGTAGCCCGAAATTCGCAGGCCGACCATAGATATCAGGTGTGCATCGGCATGGGCTCGAACCTCGGACCATGTGCATGGTCGGCGAGAATCCTAACCACTGTGCCAACGACGCACAGCCACTGAGACACGTTCCATTGGCCAGCTCATGAATTCTAACTTCTGCCAGCCAATTCGGGACACAGGGCGACCACCTTGCAATGTCTTCTTCGATAAGTTACTAACTCATCTTCAACCTGCTGTACCCTACTGGTCACAGTTTCCAACTAGAACCCCAGGTTAACAGCCTGAATAGGGCCAATCGCTAGTGAGCATCAGATTGATCTCCAAGTACTCGTTTTTGTAGGGGGTTTGGGTTTTCCAAGTTTTCCGGCGGTTGGGCAATTGATGTCAGCTAATGATGGAACCGTCCAACCAATATTCATTTATTCTTTTAATCAGTTACATTTGACCACATTTGTTAATCCTAGTTGAGTATTGAATAATTCCCAATTTAATATTATTATGGAATAATAGTAGTTCCCCAGAAATGGCGTAAGGTTTCAGAAAATCTCAATACTTTTCACATATATTTAGAAATATCCTTTTTCTGAAGAGTACACTTGGTGTATTTGTAATAATTTGTTATAATGATAACCTATTAAACTAGTCACTTTCCGCTGAATATCTTTTGTTACAGTCAGCATAGTTAAGCACTTCTTAATAAACCATATAAAGAGTTCATTTAACACTGAGGATCATGCAGAAAATGATACTACAATGACAAAAAAGAACAAGCGTGGCTCATTTTAAAGTACGAATGCGTTTGGCACGTGCTACTTCTTCCTGGTTTCGGAATAAAACCAAACTAATGTGTCGCTGTTAAGCAATTTGATAAATTTTATGACATGTTTATATGAAATACCCAACGAAAATCATCTTCGCTAAAAACCAGAAATTCAACAGAGTGAGAAGACTGAAAAACGATGTAAACGCTAATGAAATGACGAGCGGATGACACCAAGGAGGTAGCGGATGGCGATGTTGGCCACATACACAAACGTGAGTGAGAGAATCAGCATCAAAACCAGTGACTCGCAGGTTGAAATTTCACAATATTTCGCAAATCTGAAGGACGGGGAAAATAAATTCAAACTGAAGGCGTGGCCAACCAAGAAGCAAATATGCGACTTCTGAGAGCACAGAGACACGACAGTTATGAGATGCAGACATCAGGTTTTATAAAGTATTTTTAGTATGCAGAAAAAATAAAGTGACGCAACATTCAATCTTGTTAACATCTCTTAACATATTTACAACTTGAGTTGAACGGATTAAAACTTATTTTAACAACATGGATGGTAACTTGTTAGTGAGTTTCAGTATCACAACGCTTTGCGAAAATCGCTTCACAACTTTTTAGTGTTTACTCTATCAAGCAAAAAATTAAATTCTATTTTGTTTTTCGATTGAATCAGGGAACAATTTTCCAATCCTAGTACCAATTAAAACATGTATGCAAAGCCAAACGATGAAAAGCAAATAACCAAGTGTTAATCTCGCCTAGTTACCAGGGTTCAATCTTAAACAGACAATCTGATAAACAATTTAATTCCTTTATATACACCTCTAGGAAGCTGTGAGAAACGAGTATAACAAAATTACAAAAAATGACTATCAGATAAATTGAAATAACTAACAGAATTGTGAAAATCAATTAAGTTACTAAATGAAAGTAAACAGACAAACTAGTGTAACTAAATGCATTAAATTTGTAACTGTGTGAACATCTACAGATCAGCACAAACACTGATAAGCTGCCCAAAACTTCTGCGATTAAAAAAGAAAAGTAAGGACTAAGCCAGTGATATCTACCAAAAACAAGACTTCGAACTTATACACCCACTAATGACTTATCCAACCGAAATTCACTAAACTTTCTACACATTACATTTAAAGATGTTATAAATGCAAATGCGACAAAAATACTAATTACAACAAAATACCGTTGTATATAAGATGCTAATGATGTAACAAAAGGCCTTCTTCATTCAAAAAAGTTGCTTTTCTAGCAAAGAATAACTCAAAAGCAACTGGAACAACTAAACAGCCTCGGGCACTTGTGGAGTACGTAACAATGTGATTGTACACTTTTTGGTTATTTGTAGAAATCAGAGATATTGTACATAATTTTTGTTTAAAACGCTTCTTGTTGAAATATACATAACTTCCGTGTACAATTGAAAATACACTCTACTGTTGGAGACTTCGTCTTCTCTCTGGTTATTTCTGCTTACTTACTCCACTCACACCGTGTTGTATACTTCAGATTCATTGTAGGAGTCTACTGCTCTCAACCGAAGACATTTCTACAACCGGAACACAGCAGCTACAGCAGACGCAGTCCAAACAATTAAAGTACCCGTGGATTATATAAATAATTTGTGGCAGAGGACTTAGACTTTATATCCAAGTAATCCTTTTTGTTGATATAACTCGTCGCTGCATTTTTGGTAATATATTGTGATTTAACACTTCATTGACTTGGATTATTATTTTTATATTTGTAATGTTAGTGAACTCTAATATTAGTCCCCTACACACTTCCCAAAGTGCACTCGAGGGTAATTTTAACTGAAGTGCCGGTGAGCAGTTAAACTTGACATTAAAAACGAAATCAAAGTATTTTTAGGCTTCGATCATTGTCATAAACTTAAACTTGCAGTAATCTTATGACTTATTTCACATGGAAGAAACTGTACATGCAAAGTCAGGCGATAAACATACCAAAAACACTTAAATACTTTACAAAATTCATCACTACAAAATTTTAAAGTTCTATATTAAGTCTTGTCTATGAATTTTCTACTCAGTGAGGCTGTAAATATACATACATATATATACATGTTTCCAAACACCATATCACCCATGGAAAATCTGCTGCAAACTTTTTCTGCTTGAATGCATAATTACCTAATTCTGTAATGAAGTTTTGAATTCAAGCATAAAACTTGCTTGTTTATATGCTCTCTAGGCAAATAATATGTCAAGTTGCAGACAACATCATAAGGTAGCGCACATAATTGTAATGCTCACTGTGTGAGAAGCGAAACCTACATAATTCAATGAACACGTATTGACTGTATTGCTTTTTTGGGCACTTTTTTCTTATCCTACAGCCTATGTGAATTATTTAGTGCCAATTCAGGTTATTCACGACTTTCGCAAAATATATAAAGTGGTGTGGTGGGTTCAATGACCGCGGCACTCATTGCATAAGTTTGAGTTTATCACCTGTAATTTTTATGAAACCGCACACAATTGAAGACATCTCTTGAGCCGGGACTCAATTATCTTCCACGATGGGTAAAGACAGAGTTTTCATTGTCAAGTTTCGTAGCTCCTAACTCACTTTATCGTATGTCAGGGTTCCCAGTGGTAGATAAGAAAAACTTGAAAACTTCTTGATTGATGCGTTCAATGAATATAAACTTCTCAAAACTAGCAAATCTGGGTTTTTAATTCACAAAGTCAAATGCCTCATGTGACATTTTTTATTCCTTTTGAGATCGAATCTAGCCGGTAGAGTGCTAGTTAACTACCACAACTGTGTTCGCCATAACCAGTCACCACATACCATATTTTTCCCTCACCCCTCTAAACACACAGCGGCTTTTGATGAATATGAATAATGTATGCATTTATTACCAGCTAATTTATTGGTTATTCATCATAAGGCAAACCTAGTAACCACACATATTCGGGATGTAACTTACGATAAAAAAACATCACTCATCTCCAAATAGCTTCACAAAAATCCGGCTGTTTCAAATGATCTGCTAACAAGTTAGAGGAGTCACATATGGCTAGAAGTTTAATCACAAATCTCTCACAGTCCTTCTGGACAACATATTTGGCAGTAACTTCGGGGTGAAATGATCTTTAAGACCTCTTCAACTTGAAGAAGTTCAGAGGAGTGAAATTACGCACCTGTAGACTGCAGAATGCAACGTAAGCTTGTTCTGCACAACGTCGGAACGCGACTTTGGTCTAATGATAACGGAAAAGTGTACACAGAGGATGGAGCGACGGCATAAACTGTCACACACTTTACACATAGACATTGCTGAGGTCTTTCAAAGGTTGTACATAACATACGTCAGACTACACCCTTAAGTTCATAATATCATTGCACCTCCACTGCTTAAAAAGACGCAAACCTTTCGGAAAGAGTGCAGTGACAAGCGACAAAAAATGATTGGTCTCCGAGACATACTGTATGATGAAGGATTAAAGGAATTAGGTCTCTTCACACTCAGTTACCATGGTCTCAGAGGGGACTTAATTACTGCCTTAAGATGACAAACGACCGAATCACCTTCGTGGAAATCCCCGAAAGATAGCTTACCAGAGGTCAAAGAATCGATCGCACTTAGAGTTTGCTGCACTTGGAACTCTGCACGAAAAGATGTGGCTACTGTGCCGCCCGTGGGGAGCTTTTCGCAGAGACTGGACAATCATGCTGCGTCACAAGAAATCAGTTCAAACGGCCCACCCACATAAAATCTCATACACTAATAATTAGTAGACACCTAAACTCAGTATTTTACTTCTGTGCATTCTCTATTGTCGTAATCTCCTGACTACTTTAACTACTACACTTACTCTTATTATTACTGATAGTACATTCATACATGTATATATTTAGATATATGACAACCACAAATTTAATTAGCTCTCTGTTTTTGCGTTTTATCTATCAATTTTTCTGTATTTTGGTCGGAACAACCTACATTAATTATATCTGTTATTATTTTTTCTTTAGACAAAGACAGTGAAGAACTAACTGGTGAAACTATCAACTCTTTTCACAGTAGCAACAAACTCAACACACACCGGACGCTGCAAACAACGCATAATTAATGCTAACATCACTCCTTTTGGAGGAAACCAAAGCTACGACAGTCGAGTGGCGCGACGAACTACGCAGAAGCTTACCAAAGACCAGTGACCTTTACCTCACAATCAAAAAGTGAGCACATAGAAATCAAATTGGTTTACACTAGCTCGCAAAAAGTATTATGGTTGTTGGAATTTCAAAGAGAAAGACATGCTATGATTTGGAATGAAATTTAACAAGATTCCCTGTATCTTATTGATTCTTGGAGGTCAAATTTCGAAAGACCTTGACTTTATCCACTATACTTTAATTTCGCCCCCGAGACGTACACCGCAGACATTACTGCATTCTGAAGTTGACAAACAGATATAGAAACAACGACATTATTTGCGGATGATATTGAGATATGCAAACTGCAAATAATAAAAATTACAGGTTGGTACTGCAAAACGCTTTAGATAAGTTCGCTGAATGGGCTAGCCTCTGGAGTAGGGAAATTAATTCCAGGAAAAGCACGGAAATGCACCCAGGCCAGAGGTCTTACACGTCGTACTCCCTTAGGGACACAGAAATGCGACTAAAGGGACAAAAAGACTAAAGTTCTGGTATAACCCATGTCTAAACCTCGTCTAGTTAACTGGCGTACTCGTTTTCTAGCTGGTCCCATGCGTAGATAAAGAGTGAGGGTTGGGCGTAGGGCTAGCAACCTACACCATCAAACCTATCAGACCACTAGAGAAACTTCTGCACACAAAATTACATTCAAATTTTAAAAAAGGTTCGAAAAATGATCTTAATCTTCTCTGCGATTGGGGAGGCGATACGACGCATGATGGTGAAAGTGTCCTGGAAGCCAGTCAGCCGATATCTCTTCTCTCGATGAAAGAAAAATATGAATAGATACATACAATGTCCTTACACCATGCGAAGTTGGGGAGGCTGCCTAAATAGCCGACCAAGTTTGAAGATATGTCCTAGAATTGCTGGGTGTCTGAGTAAGCAGACGGAACGGATGTGGATTATTCAAATTGTCAACTGGAGGGTCAGTAATCTGCTCTGGTCTGGCCAACCAGACAACAACCACGAGCACATTAGGGAGTGGCCGACCATCGGAACAGGCTGGATTCAGAAAAAGCAAGTCTTGTGCTGATCAGATTGCAACTCTACTAGTCGTTATCACAGAACAAAGCATAGAATGGCAGTCAAACCTATACCACAACCTCCTCCATCAACTTCGAAAAGGCCTTCGACAGCATTGACCGAGAAGTAATTAGGAAACTACTTCAACACTACGGCGAGCAGTGTCCAAGTCTTAACAACCTCTGTCAATGTATTTGAATATTGAACGATCAGTTCATGGTTGTTTGCTCAAACCCAATTCCATATTTTTCGCGAGATTCATCAATACTGCAGTCATCGTTTCATCGTTCTCTCTTCGTTGGAAGAGAGAAAAACTATCAGAAGTATTATTGTGATTGTTATGACATTTATTCTTAGACTTTGTGTACAATAACCTAATCGTTGGCTCTGTATTGATGCAAGAACAAACGGTTCTTGAGTCACCAGTTTGTGTTCTGGTTTTCGCGTTCGTTATTACGCATAGTTCCTGAAAATCTTTTAAGGACAGCGTGAAGTCCAGTGTGGTTAGACCTGGACAGTGACAACCTTATTCAACAGCTGGCTATATGACAAAGCCTGACAAGTGTCAGGTGATCCACAACGGAAAACTCAGTGAGGTGCTCGAAGTGAATACAGGTGTAGGACAAGGCTGCATGTTAGCGCCCATGATAATAGTCTTAATTGTGCTGGACTGGATAATGCATCAGACTGTGGAAAGTGAGTGAGAAGACAGGAGTACTCTGGACCGACCGTTAAGAAGTCTATAGAATATCTCGATTTCGCGCGCAAGTGGCTTATATTTAATGTCACACGAAATCGAGGAATATACAGTCAGGCGAAAACCAACGAACTGACTGAAGAAGGAGGAGGCTAGGATAGGGCTCCAGGTGAACATAGAGAAGACGGAAGTGATGAAGATAACTAACCACCACGGACAGCAACAACAACCAGCAATAATTACCATCAGTAGAAGATATATAACAAAGGTAACTCCCTTCACTTATTTAGGAAGCTAAGCTCGTAAAACGATATTGGATATTGGACATAGAATAAACCAACAATATTCAAGCGAGCGAAAAGTGACACAGAGCTGACTGTAGCGTTTTCCGTGTGGAATTACCGAGTCCTACACCTACCAGAAGCGTGTCGGAAGGAAGGCTATAAAACCATGTAAGAATGCACTTGCTTACCGTTCACTGATTTTTTTCGAAGGCAAGTTAAGTTGTTGCAATTGGAAGACTTTTTCAAGTGAATTTCTTCACCTAGTCTCCCCTATCGGACAAAAGTGGGGACATTTCGAGGAAAATTGGGACAGCTTTTTGAATAATGGGGAAAAAATGCGAATAATGGGGACAATATCTGAAAAATGGGGCAACTGTAATTACAGTTGCACTAATATAGTTTTCTGTAGGCACATATAAAAGATAAACCAAATTGGTTAACCAATTTCTTTCGACAGTCACATAAAAAAAGGATAAATTCGAAAATTTATTCTGCTATCTTTAAGGGTTTCCTTCATAAATTAGCGACATGTATGCTTTCGATTTTTATATATTTGAGAGGAGAATGATATTGAAGCTTTCCTTGTTTATGCCATGGTTAGTTAACTACTTTACTCAACACAGTTGTACGGCTATGTGAATTATGATTCACGGCCTATAGACCGCCTTTAAAATAACTTACAGTAAGTTAAATGGTTTTCTTTTTTAGTGTCCTAATGGGTCTTATCAGTCTGTTCCATCGGTAATGCATAGGAAGCATCAGTGGGTATTGTTAATTCTTAGGCAACTTTACAGGATTCTGCGTATTTGATTCTGAAAGTGACCAATATGGTTCGGGTATACTGTTAATTTACTAAATCGTTGTGCTTAAACTATATTTACTAACCGGAGAAGTTTTACTTTCCAGTTTTAGACTAGTTTTCAAACAGCCATCGTACTTATGTGCTTGAGCATCTCTCACTAAATTGCCACATGTATTAAGTTTTAATGTGCATATTTTTATAAAATTCCCGGTTAATTTTCTATATTATTTTCAGCATCTTCAAAATGATGTCCAAGTGGTGTTGGGTCACAAAAAATCTTTATTATTTAAATGGCCTACGGATTATTACGCCTAAAAACCTAACCAAATTCAGTAGTGAGCATTCATCTTATTCAACACAGCAATCATTTGGTGAAGACATTCTGGATGGTGTACAATTACGTCGTGTTAAACAGACATCTTTCAAAGAAACTGATGATGTACGTAGAGCCCGTTTATTGTATCAAAGCAGAAAGCGTGGAAATTTAGAAAATGGAATTCTCTTAAGGTAATCTTTGAGTTTCGACCTGTATTTGTATATATATGTTTGTGACTATATGTTTCAGTACACTTGCGTATAGTGGGGTGGTCGTGTGTAGGTTCAACAAAGCTTGTCTAAAAGCTTTGCGCATCCTATTAGTCCTTCACGTGCTAGTTTGTTACGATTTTATCTCCTGAGTTTGAATAGATACTAAGTATGCAGGGATTTCTTGACCACCCATACATAGTATAAAGTCATGATATCACGACAGTAAGAATTGTGTCTAGCTGAGTCGACTTCACTCTGAATTAGGTGTATAGGAAATTTCGTTCGCTTCCTGATTCTGTCGTCATCTTTGATTACTTCCTACTTGTTTCCTATTATTCTTTGAAGGCAGCTCATTATCACTTGCTTGTTACTTTTGTTCATTTTACTAGTTGATGTGTTTTGTGTACATCATACTCGTTAAGTGGAGAACACAATTAAATTGTTACTTTGCTATTGAAGAGTGTAACCTCAAGAAATTTAAAACCCTTACTTTTACTGTGACTGCGTACGCGATTTTCCTTATCTTTAAACTCAATTTCTAAGTAACTGAATCAATCAATACAATGCTCCTAAGTCTGAATTATTATTTCCCTTAATTCCTAGAGGAAGATAGGGCTTCAGCCAAGCGTCTCCATTGCGTTCGGTTCTCTGCTAGAGTTTTCACCTGGCTCCAAGTCTGCCCACATGCTTTCATCTCTTCTTCACATGACCGCCTGCAAGTCACCCTTGCATTTACGACCAACTCGCCACTTCCCTTTCGGGTTCCACTCGAGGGCTTGTCTAGTGATGTCACTCACTTGATGGTTTCCTCAGAGTATGGCCAATCCAGTCCATCTCCATTTCTTCCTGCCTATTTGTTGCACAATCGGTTCCTGGTTGGTTTGCTCCCAGAGGTCTCTGTTCCTGATCTTTTCTGGCCGTCTGATCTTGAGTAGTGTTGAGCGAAGACAGCTGTTAATGAAGGTCTGTGCGAATAGTATGAATATACATCATAAATATGAAAATATGCATTCAGTCAAATATCGAAGTGTCGCCGGGTAGTTAGTGATCTCCTTAAAATTGAATGCTGTAGTTTGAATTCAGAAAAGCAAAAGTTTAGTGATTTTAAATCACGCCGATTTTTTAGATTCTTGATATCGTCCTCACCCTTTATAGACTGCGATCGCAGACCTGAAGAATTTTGCTGAAGGCCTTCTATCTAATGTCAGCTTCAACCGGTCTTTCGGTATGGCTTTTTTTACAATGCTTGGTATAAAAGCGTTGTCTAAATGTTTGCCACTTGAATGTTTGTGTTTTCTTTTCAGTCGGGCTAACGAAATACTACAGACATCAATTTTTACGCAGGAAGGACAGTCTTTGTTGTGAACGACTGTCGAAGTGACGCACAAGCAGTCGCATTTCACCTACCTGGGACGTGCTTGCATTTATGGGCATATTCCCGGAAATATTCCTACCACCTAGCAGTCTGGCACTCAGGATCATTTGATTGCACACTAATCAGTAACTAGTGTAATTTGTCTAATCCTATCTTCGCTGCAGACTGAATTTTACCAGTCAAGCTTGCGATGTGGCCACCATGCTAGATGGCTCGCTATCACAGTACACTGGGAATTGTTGGTCAACAGGAGGTCAATCGCGAGCCTGAATAGCTCAGTGGTAACGTCTCTGACTGCAGCACTGGGTGACGTGGGTTCGAATCTCATAAGGGACATGAATTCCTTCAAGGTTGCAGATACGTCTTGATGATGAGTGCCAACTAGCACGAAACATAGGTCCAAGGCTTCCCGTGACCGATTGCCTCCAACCGCCGTCATACAATGACGGCTTAACGAACCATACTGTCCGTATTCTTTCCAGGTATTTTCAATAGTGTAAGTCTAAACTGCGGTGTCACCCATCTATATCATACAAACATCTGGTATTAGCCTGTTAAGTGTCGTGTGCATTAACTCTCGAAATATTACTGGTGCATTCGGCAAACCAAAAGATATGGTTTGGAACTCATAATTCTGTGGGTACAGCAAAAGCAGTCATAGGTCGTTCACTTGGATTCATTTCCAGCTTCTTGTATCCGGTAGCTAAGTAGATGGTAGAAAAAAACCAAACGGCTCCTACTCATACGTCTAATGCCTCATTAGCTTTTAAAATAATGAACTAGTACTTAAACTTTGCTGTCATACTCTTCAGTCAATGGACTATTCAGTTTTTATGACGACGGCTTGTTCCTTTCATCTCAGAGTAGTTATTACAAGATGTTATTGCAAACAGCATTTAACTGTCTGTCTGTTTTCGACATAGAACTTTACACCGATGTGCAGCAGTTCAAGTCGCCACACTTCCTCCTTGTAGCACACAAAGCAAGAGAAAAAAGTAGAAGAAATGCTTAATAGAGACAGTAAAGAGAGGTGTGAGACAAAGGAATAGTAATAACAAAGAACAATATAGTTTCATTGGAAATCATAAGTCACAAGGAGTGGATGCATCTGCACCAGCCATTGAGAACGAAGATGTTGGGCCATATCACCAATTGTCTCCAGCTTTCATTGGTTTTTCCCGTCCCAAGGACCCCAACCAGGATGTCTACACCTCCCTACGTGGTGGGCTGGCTGGCTTAAAGTAACTGTTGTGGATTTGATTGACTGATGAAGCCATGTTTTAGTTTGACCGCCGCCAGCTCTTTTCCAGCCTGATCACTCCTATGTCAGCTAACATTGCCCGTCGAGGAAGACAGGCGATGACTAGGCATACGTAACACACGTCCTAACCATCTCAGTCGATGTAGCTTCACAGCCTTGTCTATTGATTTCCCCTTCTTACCTAGCACTCGACCAATGCCTAACGTCAATATTGCTCACCTCATTATACCACCACGTAAGACGGGAGGTAGAACGCAGGCACCTATTATGGAAGACAGCTAATCTTTTCATGTCTTCCACTATCAACGGCCGTGTCTCACAGCTAGCCATAAAGGAGGACGCAGCAGACTGATGACCAGTACATACGCTCTTTGGTCGATAGCCGGATATCACGTTTACTTAGTGGTCAAAATGTTGAAGTGTGAAATCAACTACGCCTTTTATACAGTAGGCAATTCTAAGTTGTCGTTATCTCACCTGCAAAAATGTTCACAATCAAGTGCCAAAACCCTTTAGGTTATCAAAGACTTTTCATACTCGTCTTAACTATAAATATGTTCACCTCATGGATATTTAAGGGTTTTTGATCATTCATTATCCGTTACAGTGGAATTGTGTTGCATTAGTTTGAGCATTAGTTTTACATTTCGTGAGTTTTAAATTCAAATCACGTTGCACCTTCTTTAGTCTGGAAAAACTGGTCGAGTATTGTCAGTCGTCAGATACCAAGTATGCCTCATAACTTGCCAGATGTGGACGGGTTAACAAAGTTGCTATATATACATCGATAAGCATATTGGAAGCAAGATTCCTTCCAGGTAATTACGTGGCAGTGGAATTATGTGGTTTGTATATATATATATATATATATATATATATATATATTCCCTATAACGACTGGTAGCAAATCCTTTCCACTTCAGAATAAATTATTCTCCGTAGATCACGTTTCTCCACAAAAATTCCAGGAAACTCTCCCACTCTATTCTCATTCAGGTTGATTAAGTTTTACATCAGCTGTTGTCCTCCTATGCTGTTTAACATAGATTAACATGTCAAACACATTTTTAGTTTAATGGTATTTTGTATTTCTGTATTTTTTTCAACGTGTGTGTATATAGTACATTCGCTGCTGAACATTTACATAAAATGACTCCTGAACAACTTAGTGCCTATGACGATTTAATCAATTTACCCGATAATGAATGGGATATCTACTATTGGATTACAAGTACGTTTATATCTGTATTATTTTGAAGGTGCTGGTTACCCTTTTTGAAAAGTAATAATCTTTTGGAGCTACTTTATGCAGGCTACAGCAGGTTGGGTGTGAGCACAAATACTCGCCAAAGACAATAACTAGTAGTCACGCTGTGTCGTGAATTGGCTGGCAGAAGTTAGAATTCACGGACTGGCCGGCCATTGGATCGGGTCCCAGTGGCTGCTTAATGGTCTACGAGCCGGCTCACCTTATAACTAGAAGGTCCTGGGTTCGAACCCTAGTGGGGTGGGTGCGCACAGTCCTAAATTAGGACTGACCGAAGTAGCTGTCCAGTACTCCATGCAGCTTTTTCAATAGTTCTCTAACTGATGTTAGCTCATGATGAAATCCTTTAACCAATCTATCAAATCCGTACAAACCAATTTATCATTATTATTGCTCCCTTGGGTTCCTAGTGGAACATAGGGCTTCAGCTGCACGTCTACACTTGCTTCTGTCTTCTACTGTACTTTTCACCTACATCCATGCTAGTCCATACTCTTTCAACTCCTCCTCACACGATCTCCTCCATGTCACCCTTGCACTCACGTCCCACTCGCCACTTCCCTTTCGGGTTCCACTCGAGAAATGGCCTGACGCGTGCGCGATGTCACCCAGCGGCCTCCTCAGCCGCGAGTGTCAAATCCATCTCCACTTTCTCCTACATATTTGTTGGTTGGCGATTGGTTCTTGTTCTGTTTGTTCCCAGCCATAGTTTCTTGTTGGTGATTCTTTCCAGCCTGGCCATCTGATCTTCAGTATAGAGCCAGCGAAGACAGTTTGTTGATAAAGGTCTGGTGCGCAACAGGCTGCTGTTGGAAATATTGTTTGTGACCCGCCCTCTAAGTTTCTGATCAGTTTAGAAGAACTGACTGATTTGACGTTTGTATTGTATTGAAAATCCGACCGAGTTTTGTTGTTGTTGATTCTGAGTGACGAATATTTCGAGATTGGTTTCAGGTTGGTTGATGAATGTGTTTCTTGCTCTCCTTCCCGATTCTCGCTCGATTTGACATTTTCGTCTGTTCCGACTGCGTGTAGTTGAGACAATGCTCAATGCTAGATAAGTGAATGAATTAACCTCTTTCAAATCCCTCTCGTTGATGGTGATTGGCACTGGATGTTGCTGTTGTTGTTGTTGTTGGTGGTGGTTGTGGTTATTTTCTTAATCTCCGTCTTGTCTATGTTCTCCTGGAGTCCTGTCTTCTCTGGCTGCTTCTTCGACCAGTTCGTTGGTTTTCGCTTGTAAGTCTTCGATTTTGTGTGACATCCGACATAAATCATCCACGCGCGAAATCCAGGTCTTCTAGGTTTTTCACGTCGGTCCAGGATATCCTTGTCTTCCCGTTTCCCACCCACTGTCTGACGCATAACCCAGTCCACCACAATTAGGAATATCATTGGTGATAATAAGCACCCTTGTCTGACTCCTGTGTTTACTCCAAACGCCTCGCTGAGTTTTCCGTTGTGGATCACTTGACATGTGCCGTTGTCGTACAGCTGTTGAATAAGGTTGATGAATATTTGGGGTACGCCATAGTACTCGAGTAATTTCCAAATTACTTCGTGGTCAACGCTGTCGAAGGCCTTCTCAAAGTCTATAAAGTTGAGGTAGAGGTTTGATTGCCATTCCATGCTTTGTTCTGTGATGATGATGCGTAGAGTTGCAATTTGGTCAGTACATGATTTGCCTTTCCTGAATCCAGCTTGTTCTGGTCGGAGTTCTGTCTCCAGTGCGTCCTTTAATCTCTCCAGGATGATGCGACTCAGGATTTTACTTGGCGTCGACAGGAGCATGATTCCTCGCCAGTTCTTGCAGAGTCCTAAGTCGCCCTTCTTTGGTAGTTTCACGAGGTAACCTTTCCTCCAGTCAGTAGGCACCTTTCCCTCCTTCCAGACCTTTTGCAATAATGGAGTCAGCATGTCTGCTGTCGTCTCTGGGTCTGCTTTCAGTGCTTCAGGGGGTATTCCATCTGGTCCGGCTGTTTTTCCAGCTTTCAGAAGTTTGATTGCGTTCAAGACTTCAGCTCTCGTTGGAGGATTGGTGTCAACTTGCAGTTGTGTGCGCGCTGTTGTTGGTATTTCTGGACGGGTTGCAGGTGATGGTCGGTTCAAGAGTCCTTTGAAGTGATCCGCCCATTGTTTAATCTGTTTTTCTTCCTTGGTAATGGGCTTCCCTTGGCTGTCTTTTATAGGTTTCGCTTGTGTTGGTCTCTTCCCGGATAGAGATTTGGTTATCTGATATAGTGTCCTCAGGTCCCTTTTGCCTGCTGCCTTTTCAGCTTCAGTGGCCAGGTTGTCGTAGAATCGTCTTTTGTCCTTCCTAGCACTTTTCTTCACTTCTTTGTCCAATGCTTTGTAAGTTGAGCTCATCGTCTCCTTCTCCTGTCCGTCCTTGCATTGAATCATTTTCTCTTTCACCATTCTCCTCTCTTCTATTAATTTCCAAGTGTCCGTTGAGAGCCATTCCTTGTCTTGTCTCTTCTTTCTTCCTAGAACCGTTGAACACGTTTCGTTGAGAATCGCCTTCAGAGACTTCCAATGTTCTTCCACGCATGATTCTTCAGTGATGTCGCGTAGTGTTTCCTGCTTTGCTCTGACAGTTGCAGTGAAAGTGTCCTTTGTGGTTGTGTCCTTCAGTAATTGAGTGTTGAACTTGCATTGTGGCCTATCCCCAGCTATCCTCGAGGCTTTTAGTTTCACCTTGAAAGTCCCTTGTACTAGATAGTGGTCTGAACCCACATCTGCTCCTCTCCTTGACCTTGTGTCCAGTAGGCTCCGTCTCCACTTTCTTGAAATTGAGATGAAGTCTATTTGGTTTTTGGTGTTTCCATCTGGTGAAATCCATGTCGTCTTGTGTATATCCTTGTGTTTGAACACACTGCCACCAATCACCAAATCATTGAAGGCGCAGAAGTCTGAGAAGAGTTCACCATTGTCGTTCATTTCACCGAGGGCCTCACGACCCATGGTGAGTTCTCTTCCTGTGTTGTCTCCTCCCAGCTTCGCATTCATGTCGCCCATCAGGATTTTGATATCGCCATTTGGGACGTTGTCCATTATTGCTTGTAGTTGTCTGTAGAACGCCTCCTTCTTCTCTTGTTCTGAGACGTTTGTAGGCGCATAGCATTGAATGACTGTAACCTTCCTTCCTTTTGAGTTGAACCTGGCTGTCATTATCCTGGAGGAGATTGGTTCCCACTGCATGAGAGCTTTGGTTGCTGTTGGTGACATCATGATGGCCACTCCCTCAGTGTGCTCGTGGTTTTCCTCTGGGTGGCCAGACAAACCAATACTTTAATTGAATTTTAGATTTTCCCGTCGTTTAATTGAACCGAAGTGCTCGTCTCAGGTTGACATGTCGGCTTCTTGTGCAGATGCTTCGACGATGTCTGGGCATTTCATTAGTATTTAATTGGTGGATGGTGACTAGCGGGTATATCCAGCTGGCGAGTCCCAAATAGGACGAAATGCGCCTTATCCCGGATTCCTCTGCTAGTCAGCATTCACCAATTGAACCAATACTTTATACTAAGTTTCATGTTGAGAATCACTTCATGAAAAAACGTGTATGGTCTTTTCAAGCTTCATGTATATGAACACTCATCACTGAAATGTATTTCTGAAGCCTTAAGTAAACATATTGAACATTCTGTGTCTGTATCACTCCGTAATAAAGTTAAAGCTAGGTTATTTAGGTCAAAGGTTAATGTATCACTTTCAAGCATAAGCACATATATAAGCAACTAACTGTATTCTAGTCTTCATAATGTCAAATTTTTGGATATTACTGTAATGGTCTCTAGTGTGTATTCTGAAGTTTTCATTTTTCGATGAGTGATATATTTTAATGTATTATCTATTTGCTCAGACTATAATAGCTATATATATATATATTCACGAGAGCTAACTTGAGAAATTAGTCCTCCGTGGAACAGACTTTTTTATGTTCGAGGCTGTGAGTCACATTTATTGCGTGAGAGGGCTAGCAGTACTATACATTTGCCCAACCTGAAGTAGTTGGACGGTGATTTGAACTAGGGACTCATTAGTTGTAAGAGTTGATTGCTAAAACTGATGAGGCACATCTTCAGCTGAGATACTACCGGGGATTCTTACTTCGTCTTCATTATTATTTGCGGACGACATTAAGATCGGGAAAACTGTAAATAATAACGAGAATTGGTCGGCCCTACAAACTGATCTAGATAAATTAACTGAGTGGTCGAACCTGTGGAGTTTGGAAATAACTTCTAGGAAAAGCGCGATAATGCACTTAGTTCAGAAGTCTTATACGTCGTACTCCCTAGGGGACACAGAACTTCCTGATGTTAACGAACAGAAGGACCTAGGAATCATTGTCAGTAATGGTTTGAAAACAACTGCAAATTGCAATGCAGCTGTAACTAAGGCTTTTCGAATGCTATGGGCACTTCGAAGGGCTTTCAAACGATTAGACAAGGACATGTTCCAAATACTCTACGCATCATATGTCAGGCCTCATCTAGAATACTGCATACAAGCGGCGAGTCCATCCTTCAAAAAGGAAGCACATATCCTGGAAAGAGTACAGAGAGTAGGAACGAAATTAGTTATTGGTATCTCACACCTTCCTTATGATCAGAGGATGGAGCATTTAAATCTCTTCCCGTTATCATACCGATGGAAGATAGGCGACTTAATTTTAGCATACCGTATACTTAAGGGTGATCTAGGAACTGACCTTTCTAAACTTTTCTCCCCTTCTAGGATAAATTTACGAGGTCACCGCAAAAAGGTGTTCAAACCGAGGACGATTAAAATATGTGCAGCATTTAGATTCCCTCACAGAGTGGTCAACGAATGGAACTCCTCAGCTGATTCAGTAGTATCAGCTCCATCGGTGAACATTTTCAAAGAGAAGTTAGATCTCTGCAGAGATATATTTTGCAAACATTAACACAGGTCACAAGAGCCTTCTATCCTTATCATCTTCAGCTGACAGCTAGCACCTTTATATATATTTACGTTATTTCACCTGGATTTGATCACTATGCACTATAGTTTTTGACAAACCTTGGGAAATATACGCCTGTAGATAATCAATGTATTTTAATAAATGTAACACACTCATCCATGGGCTGTTTATTTCTGAGATACACGGTTTAATGTTTATTACATAAATTTAGTTTATATTATTTCGCTTGTTGACATGCCATTTTTTGATATTTGTCCCTGAAATAACTCTATAGAAGCCAAAGAAGCTCCGGAATATTTTCAAACCGACGTCTTAAAACTTCTGCAGGAACACTGCAAAAATACAAGAAATGAACAACGATATCAACAACCGAGCTTATATTAATTTCTGTACAGTTTTACTAGCGTTCATCTTCTCTTTCTTTTGATTGGCTTATTTTATTTGTAGTTATGCTTTGTACAAATTAATATATAATTTCATCTATCTGTCTGTTTTCGATATAGAACTTTACATCGATGTGCAGCAGTTCAAGTCGCCACACTCCCTCCATGTAGCACACAAAACAAGAGAAAAAAGTAGAAGAAATGCTTAATAGAGACAGTAAAGAGAGGTGTGAGACAAAGGAATAGTAATAACAAAGAACAATATAGTTTCATTGGAAATCATAAGTCACAAGGAGTGGATGCATCTGCACCAGCCATTGAGAACGAAGATGTTGGGCCACATCACCAATTGTCTCCAGCTTTCATTGGTTTTTCCCGTCCCAAGGACCCCAACCAGGATGTCTACACCTTCCTACGTGGTGGGCTGGCTGGCTTAAAGTAACTGTTGTGGATTTGATTGACTGATGAAGCCATGTTTTAGTTTGACCGCCGCCAGCTCTTTTCCAGCCTGATCACTCCTATGTCAGCTAACATTGCCCGTCGAGGAAGACAGGCGATGACTAGGCATACGTAACACACGTCCTAACCATCTCAGTCGATGTAGCTTCACAGCCTTGTCTATTGATTTCCCCTTCTTACCTAGCACTCGACCAATGCCTAACGTCAATATTGCTCACCTCATTATACCACCACGTAAGACGGGAGGTAGAACGCAGGCACCTATTATGGAAGACAGCTAATCTTTTCATGTCTTCCACTATCAATGGCCGTGTCTCACAGCTAGCCATAAAGGAGGACGCAGCAGACTGATGACCAGTACATACGCTCTTTGGTCGATAGCCGGATATCACGTCTACGCCAGAGACAGCGTAAGCTGGCATATCCGTACTGAGATTTCGTCACAGATCAACCCGTTGGGGCTGGCTGATGGTACTTCCCAAATAAGTGAAGCGGTCAATGTGCTCTATCACTTCATTCCCTATTTCTAAACTAGGAGCCAGTGTAGTCCAGTTCTGTAACATAATCTTACATTTGGCGGGAGCGGATCGCATTCCAAACATTCGTAGATTGCTGCTCCTCAAAGTGTTTAGAAGACTCAGCATTTTGTCAGCGTCTTCACCCAGGTGGTAGGACTATATCAACTGTATATTCTAAGTCAACGAGATTATTCCCTGGTAGGAAGTCAATCCCTGAGTCGCTGAAGTGAGTTAGAGTTAAATCCATTAGTGCGTCTATGATGACTTGTTTTGGTATATATATGTTGTTAAGCATTCAGTATATTTCTGTATTTATTCGTCAGTTTGATAGTTTATTCGCTGAAACAGTCAGGTGCTTAATTATGAAGCTCAGGGATATGGTTCATCTCACAGTGTCTAGGATAATAAAGAAGGTTGAACGGTGAGACTGTTTTTTAAGAGTAGAAGACAAGAGACGTGGATAATGGGATCGTTATTTCGAAGTGAAAAATAGAGGAGAAATACATGAGTCGATACATGCACGATGTTTATCTCTAAATCTTATCCTCAGAAAAGGCTATCTAATATAGGAAAACGTTTTAATTTCAGCAAAAAAACAACTGATCACATTCACCAAAGTATAACTGAAGACTATGTTTTGGACAGATACTGAGAAGAAATTGAAGTGACGTTGCATGGCTGGGGCTTAAATAGAAACGATGATTTAGGCGTCCAAGGTTGATATTTAGGTCAGGTAAAGAAGAGATGTAAGTTTGTGGGCTGTCATGTGTGGAACTAGGTGAAATTACCGTCAGACACCTGACTGTTATAAAGAGGTGGCGCTAGGGCCCTCTTATGTTTTACTAGGAGAGCAGAGAATAAATAATAAAATATACAGATGGAGTGATATCATCAGCGTATCTGTACTATATGCAAGTGAAGAGTTGACGGGTATTTTCTCTCGATTTAATATCATTTCAGAAACGGAAACAACCCTCTTACACTTTTGAAGTAACGTCCACCATCAGCAGCTCATCAACAAAACTCAGCCTATCATCTTCACTCTGTTGGTGAAAATTCTCCAAAGGGGAGAAACCATTCTGTGTAGCTAAATATAAGGTACAACAATTTTTAAACTTAGATATGATGGAGAAGATGTGTAACTCAGGTGGATGATTTTGATGCAATAGTTGCTTTCTCTCTCAGCTGGCGGATAGAGGTTTATTTACGAAGCTTTCATTGCGCTACCTACCTATCTTCAGTGCATACTTCAATCTGTTGAAGTGAGCTTTTAGATTTCTCCACGAGTTTATTAATCATCTCTCCTGTTGTGTAAATTAATAATTATATAATTTTTCCTTCACGTTCCCAGTGGAAAATAGGGCTCCAAGCTAGTGGCTTGAAGTTTCTGTAGCAGTGTTTAATTTTTACAGGATGGGGTTGCTAGCCTCATGCCCAACCTTTCCTCTTTACCAGCATTATTTCTGGCTCAGTGAGGTAAAGGAGTGTGCCGGCCGGGGGTCGAACCCCGGACCATGTGGATGGTCGGCGAGCGTCCTAACCGCTATACCATCGACGCACCTCCTGTTGTATCGTAACCTTGAACGTGACTCTGGTTGTTTTTGTGTGTTTTCACACCATCTAGGCTGCTACTTGTATTGGTGTTGATTGTTTCCTTGACCTGAAATTTGACCTTTTGTGTGTTTGTGAGATTTCCTTCTTATCGATTGGTAAATTTTGTCTAACTCGATGCGTCTATTGATTGACGATTCGTTGGAATACCAGGCGAGTTTAGAAAAAATTCTCTAGCATTCTTGGTGTTTCCTCTGTCTAATATTTGAACGTTGGTTGTCCCAGACGAATTGATGTCCGTGGTTGTCTGTATGCAGTGAGGCGACATGAGAGAGTGAATGTCATGTCTTTTGACGGCTGGTTTATGTTCATGGATGCGAAGAAGACGAAGGGGACATCCACTTTGGCCAGTGTTACAATTTATTTCATAGATGATGTTGGTTTTATCTTCTTTCCTCGTTGACGCAGATATTTAAATCTACGTCTGAAAACAAACATAATAAAGAATGAAGTTACCAGGTTTAAAAATATGCTGATTGGCAACCAATGGTCAGCAGGACAAAACGCAGTCAATTTTAATACAAAAACTTCCTGATTAAACAACATCAAGACACTTTATGCAGACTGTGAGAAGAATAAAAGCCCCAGGATCAGCAAATCAGAAATAGTTCCATTGTATACTGAATAAACAACAGTTCAAGTACTTACAAACTGTAGACTTAGGTGCGAATATCAAAAATCTATTGATAAGCGCTCCTGAGATACTAAAGCAAATGTGAAGTGATCACTTCATTCGGTTTTATGTCGACCAAACGACTCAACAACGAAAGAGGATAAAACCAACATCATCTACAAAATAGATTGTTCTTTTTTATTCCTTTACGTTCCCAGTGGAATATAGGGTCTCAAGCTAGAGGCTTGAAGTTTCCATAGCAGTGGCGCTTTATTTTTACGGGATGGGGTTGCTAGCCTGTCTCATGCCCAACCTTCCCTCTTTACCAGTCTTATTACTTGCATAGCGAGGTAAAGGAATGCTTCGTCGGCCGGGGTTCGAAGCCCTGACCACCTGTGTGGTTGGCGAGCATTCTACCACTGTGCCACCGACGCACAAAAGAAATTGTAACATCTGCGAAAAATACACTACGTTGGTCGAAGTGTACGTCCGCTTCGTATCCGTGAGCATAAACCAGCCGTCAAAAGACATGACATTCACTCTCTCATGTCGCCTCACTGCATACAGACAACCACGGACATCAATTCGTCTGGGACAACCAACGTTCAAATATTAGACAGAGGAAACACCAAGAATGCTAGAGAATTTTTTCTAAACTCGCCTGGTATTCCAACGAATCGTCAATCAATAGACGCATCGAGTTAGACAAAATTTACCAATCGATAAGAAGGAGATCTCACACACAAGGGGTAAAACTTTAGTCACATTCCAGGTCAGCCACCAGGAGAGATGATTAATAAACTCGTGGAGCAATCCAACGAAGCTCACTTCAACGAATTGAAGTGTTTGCATTGAAGCGATGTTGTTTAGTAGGATGGGCAATGAAAGCTTTGCAAATAAACCACTTTCCACCAGCTGAGAGAGAACACAACCACATGAAAATCATTTTTAAACTTGTAATTCTGCAATTACAATCGAAACAAAACAAGGAATTTCATCGACGTAATGGACTGTCTGAATTATTAGTTGACAAAAAAGCGAATACATTTGTATGCCGTATCGGACAATTGATTTAATCATCTCTTATTGTTTTGTAGTATGATAATAAATAGTAGAACATTTATTAACATTATCAACCAAAAAAAAGCATAACACAATGATAAATAAAGCAAAGTAGATAATTCCATACAGTATCTTAAAGCAGATTACAAACAACAAAGAGATCGAAAAAGGCAATACATATTCGACCATATTCGATAATGAATATCATAGGTAATAATGATGATAGTGATGAAGATAATTATGCCAGATATAAATATATAAGAACTGTCAATTTTTGATCATACTGATGGTTTTTGAAAGGTTATAAATTGATATTTGATTGATTCATGTTGAGCCTGATTTCTATGATAAAGTAAGCGTATATTGCTCTTCGCGAAAATACACATTTATATACCAATAGCACTTACACTATTCATCCTCTTCCTTGTCATTGATAAATCAATAAAAATAATCAATAGATGAGTGGAGGTGTGGTGGTGGGGGGGGGGGAAGAAAGAACACACACACAAAAAAAAATATCAGTTAACTAAAGCATGTAAATAGGTATTAGGACTACAATTAAAATTTTCACTCACTCATTTGTTTTTTCAGGCAGGAAGGTTAGCGATGATAACTAAATTGAAATTTATTAGTTGTGTGATGAGAGCTGTCTGCAAGGCGAAATTGTAAGCAACAATTTACGTCGATGTCTACGTCCCGAATGGAGGGGGGGGGAAGGAACGCTTGCAATAGTGCCATTATTAGGCATCTCGTTGATACCAGTCATAAGGTGGACACTATGAAATCCTTTAAAATGACCGATAGACAAAATAGTTGAAATTTTCGCAAGTATGGTAAAGCAATTGCTATCACCATATGCCTGCAACATGATTTATGTGTTCAGAAAGCAAGAGTTACTAGTCTTTTCTTGTTTTGGTAACTGGCAGTCTTTATTCTCACCTCCACTGGATTGAATAATCTTTGGCTTTAACCTCTTCCCCCTTTGACATAGTGTAACCGTGTTTGTCTCTCTTATTTCGACCATTTGAATTAAACTCACCATATTGTTACTCAATCTATTAATTACCCATCATTTTATCCACCCTCTGCTTTTTTTGCCCCAACTCCCTTGTTATTGTATCCAATCATTTATTTCTCTTTTGTGCAAACTTGACCTCTCTGTGTGTAAGCTATATAAGTGTAGTTTCTGAGGACTGTTTATTGCGTTAACAGTCACCTGTAGGACTAGCATAATGCAACATTTAAAAGTATGTTCAAATTATTCTGTAGATAAACTTAGTAACGATTTCTTTAAGCTGTACGCAACTGATGAGAAACCGATTAAATAGACGATGATACGTGAACATTTGTCTCATTTATCACCCAGTGTCATGTCACTGATATTTAGGTGTGTTGCTGATAATCGTAAAAATCAAGTGCAACATCTAACAACCAGAGTTAAAAAGTTAAAACTTAGTAGTCAGGTCTCTTGTGTTATCCAGTAAAGACTATGGTCAGTACCTTAGAGAATCTTTGCTTAAAACTCGTCAGTATACTGAACGTTTACAAAATCAAAGCTTTCATGCAAATACAAAAAAAAAATTTACAGATGGGTAGCATGAAAATCCTGCCAATAATACCTTATAACTATGAATGAACGGTCAGTCAGCTTACTGACTGCTACTAACGGATACGAAGGATCAGGAATCCAGGTCCGCGAATGACCTTATATACAATTTTCCTTGATTTAAGGTGGTAATTAGTACTGTCTTTCACAGAAATGAAATACAAGTTATGCGGTACTAAGGTTTAGTTTGGGAAAGCAAACCAAGCTTTCATTACTGTCAAGTCTGTGTGGATATCAACAACACTCAGCATGAAAACGAAAATGAGATGTGGATTTTCAACTCCAATGTGAAGTCAGTGCTACTTTATGGATCAGAGACTTGGTGGCACATCAAGAAGGGTACTTTGAACAAGCTACAGACCTTCATCAACAGCTGTCTCCACTCAGCACTACTCAAGATCAGATGGCCGGCCATAAAAGATCAGCAATAGTGAGAAATCTCTGGCAATGAGAGAACCAGCCAACGAGGAACGCATTATGCAACAAATATGCAGGAAGAAATGAAGGTGGATTAGCCATACTCTGAGAAAAAAATCGTCAAGTGAGTAACATCACACTCCAGCTCCTCGCTTGAGTGGAACCCGAATGAGCATCGGCGAGTTGGTCGTCAGCGCAAGGGTGACCTGGAGGAGGAGGTCATGCGAAGAGGGGATGAAAGCATGTGAGCGGCAGACGTAGAGCCAGGTGAAAACGTTGGAGGAGAACCGAACGCAATGGAGACGTGAAGCTATAGCCCTACGTTCCTCTATGGCTTGATGGAAACAATGAAAATAAATTACGTTCAATATCAAGTATTCTGGACGTAGATTTGGCAAAGGAGAATTTCATTAGGTAAAAACAGTTTACTAAATGTTCATTAAAATAACTATATGGTTATAAAGTATTACTATGAATAACAATAAAGGATCTTACCTCAGTTATTGGTGACGGTAGACATCCCCATGGTATCAGATTTTGTCTTGATGATCTAATTTCATTATCATTTAAAAATATTGTTTCCCTATTCGAAATCCTGTCACTGTTTATTACATCAGTTAAAACAGTAGTAGTATTGTTAGTAATATTACGACTGGGACATATTTTTGGATAACCATTATTATTATTATTACTATTACCATCACTACTATTGTCTATAGGTGTAGTGTTAGTTGAGCAATTTTTATGAATAACAATAGGAATAAAACTGTCACTACTTTCTTCATCGTAACTACTAACAACATCATGATCTTTCATTACTCTAAAAGGCACCTCTTCGTTTTTATATAAAGATATTTTATTACTTAATTCTTTTTCAGTAGCATAATTTTTATCTCTAAAATATAAAACCGTATCGATTGGTAAAGTCATTTCTGCTTTATCAGCATGAGTACTATTCCCACCACCACCACCACTACTATTACTACTACTACTACTGCTGCTGCCAGCGATACAGTTATTACTTTTCACCGTCGGATTCCTTGAATCACCTGTTTTTTGACAATTACTGGAATTATATAACGTTTGGCGATGATAATGCTGAGGATACGAATTAAATTGAGTAATGGAATAGTTTGTAGATGAAGGTAAAGTAGTACTGGACAAATGATTGTTTGTCACGGTCACCTGTTCCTTTTTGTTGCCTTCATAATGAGTTTTAGCACTGTTGTTATTGTGAAGGCTCTCAGAGTTGTTAGTCGCATTACTTTTACCCAATGTATCATTATTACTTATTCCTGGAATAGTAATATTATTCGAAAGATTCACTTCTCTTAATTTTCGCTTATTATCATTATTGTTAGTGCTACTGTCGTTGTGCATATCAATAATTTCTTCTGATACTGTAACTGTTGGTGAAGATGCATTACATAATGTTTTATCTTCATTGTCCTGTATTAGTGTTTCCGTTGACTGTAAACTATTTGTTGCTGTTCTAGTCGGTGGTGGTACAGGCAGGGTTGATTTGCTTATTATACTTGAACGATGATATGAATTAGTAGAGCTTATTGTTCCATTAGATAATTTCTGTAAAACAGAAAAAATACAAACATAGAAAGCGAAACAGAAGGAGAAACGGTTTAACAAATACTCTAACTACTCACCAAATACTCATATATTTAAGTATGAGGACTGTAAAAAGATATATTATTATTATTATTATTGTATCCTTTAGTTCCTAGAGGAACATAGAGCTTCAGCTGCGCACCTCCATTGACTTCGGTTTTCTGACAACTTTTTCAACCTGCTCCAGGTCTGTCCACATGCTTTCATCTCCTCCTCGCATGACCTCCTCCAAGTCACCCTTGGACGACCAACTCGCCGCCTCCCTTTCGGGTTCCACTCGAGGGCTTGTCTAGTGATGTCACTTGTTGGTTTCCTCAGCGTATGGCCAATCCATCTCCATTTCTTTCTGCCTATTTGTTTAACAATCGGTTCCTGATTGGTTCGCTCCCAGAGATCCCTGTTGCTGATCTTTTCTGGCCATCTGATCTTGAGTATTGAGCGAAGACAGCTGTTAATGAAGGTCTGAAGTTTGTTTGAGATGCTCTTTATGACTCGCCAAGTCTCTGATCCGTATAGTAGCACTGACTTCACATTGGAGTTGAAAATCCGGATCTTATTTTTGATGCTGAGTGCTGTTGACCTCCACACAGATTTGAGAGTAATGAAAGCTTGTCTTGCTTTTCCGATTCTGGCTTTGATGTCCTCGTCAGTTCCACCTGTAGTTGAGACGATGCTTCCCAGGTAGGTGAAGGAGGTTGTTTCTTTCAGGTTCTTCCCATTTATGCTTATTGTGGTCTGTTGTTGCTGTTGATGTTGGCTAGGAATCTTCATTGTCTCTGTTTTATCTATGTTCACGTGAAGTCCTATCTTTGATGCTTCTTCTGCCAACTTGTTACTTTTCACTTGCATATCTTCCAGTTTATGGGAAATCAGACATATATCATCGGCGAAATCCAGATCCTCCAAGTCTTTTGTGTCAGTCCATTTTATGCCTGTTCCCTCGTTGGTTGCCGTTGTCTGTCGCATTATCCAATCGATTGCAATCAGGGAGATCATTGGTGATAGTAGACAGCCTTGCCTCACTCCCGTCCTCACTTCGAAGGCTTCCGTAAGTTTCCCGTTGTGGATTACTTGGCATGCAGCATTGTCGTATAACTGTTGGATGAGGTGTATAATTGTCGATGGGACCCCGTAGTAGCGAAGTAGTTTCCAAATGACCTCTCGATCGACGCTATATATATATATATATATATATATAGCGAGGCTAGCAACCACACCCTGTAAACAAAGTTGCTACAGAACCTTCAGCAAAATGAACCTCTTTGCACCTAAAGAAAAAGTCTGTGTAGGAACATGGAACGTCCGAACTATGTACGAGACTGGAAAAGCTGCCCAGATCGCCAACGAGATGAAAAGATACGGAATACAAGTGCTGGGAATATGTGAGAGCAGATGGAATGGGAGTGGACTCACCAAATTGTCAACAGGTGAGTCAGTGATCTACTCCGGTCACCCAGAAGATAACCACACGCACACCGAGGGCGTGGCTATCATGATGTCACCAACGGCAACGAAAGCCCTGATACAATGGGAGGCGATTTCGTCCAGGATAATGACCGCCAGGTTCAACTCCAAAGGAAGGAAAGTGTCAATCATACAATGTTATGCACCCACAAACAACGCAGACCTCGAGAAGAAAGAAGAATTCTACAGGCAACTACAGGCAACAATGGACAATACTCCAGCTGGCGACATGAAAATACTAATGGGAGACATGAACGCCAAACTGGGACCAGACAATACGGGAAGGGAACTCATCATGGGTAGAGAAGCTCTAGGAGAAATGAATGAAAACGGAGAACTCTTCGCCGACTTCTGCGCCTTCAACGAACTGGTGATTGGTGGCAGTGTATACAAGCACAAAGATATCCACAAGGCTACATGGGTGTCACCAGACGGGCAAACCAAAAACCAAATCGACTTCATCTCAATCTCAAGGAAGTGGAGGCGCAGCCTACTGGACACAAAAGCAAGAAGAGGAGCAGACGTTGGCTCAGACCACTATCTCGTACAAGGGACAATCCAAATCAAATTAAAAGCTTTCAAAGAATCAGGAGCTGCAGATAGACCACAAGCCAAGTTCAACACTCAAAAGCTGAAGGACCAGGCTACAAAGGACATCTTCATTGCAAGCATAAAGGACAAAGCCGAGACACAAATCAACACTAGCGAAGAGGTCGGCGTTGAAAAGCACTGGAACAACTTGAAAACGGTGTGGAGCCAAACCTGCATAGAAATTCTAGGCAGAAAAAAGAGACAGGACAAACAGTGGCTCACTACGGACACTTGGAAACTAATAGAAGAGAGAAGGACAGTGAAGCAAAAGATTATCCAGTGCTACGACGAGCAACAAAAACAGGAGCTGAATGCAAGCTACAATACACTGAACAAAAGAGTGAAGAAAAGTGCCAGGGAAGACAAAAGAAAATATTATGAAACCATGGCAAACGAAGCAGAACAAGCTGCAGGCAAAGGAGACCTCGCCACACTCTACCAAACAACTAGGAACCTTTCGGGCAAACGTTCGACACAGATTAAGCCAATAAAGGACGACAATGGAAAGTCAATCACCAAAGAGGTGGAACAGAGAAAGCACTGGGTTGAACACTTCAAAAGACTTCTAAATCGTCCGCCACCTACAACACGTCCAGCAATACCAACAACGGAAGCAGAACTACCAGTGAACACTGACCCCCCGACGAAATCAGAAGTCCTGAATGCAATCAAGATGCTTAAAACTGGGAAAACACCGGGACCAGATGGAATCCCAGCAGAGGCTTTGAAAATAGACCCAGAGACAACAGCGGACTTGATGACACCACTACTGGAGAAGGTGTGGAAAGAGGGCAAAGTACCCGAGGATTGGAAGAACAGTTACTTATTCAAACTTCCAAAGAAAGGAGACTTAAGTCAATGTAAAAACTGGCGTGGAATTATGCTTCTGTCCATTCCAAGCAAGATACTAAGTCGCATCATCCTGGAGAGAATCAAACAAGCCCTAGATGAAAAACTTCGTCCGGAACAGGCTGGATTCAGGAGAAACAAATCATGTATTGATCAAATCGCCACTCTACGGATCATCATTGAACAAAGCTTGGAATGGCAGTCACCTCTCTATCTCAACTTCATCGACTTTGAAAAGGCCTTCGACAGCGTCGATCGAGAGGTCATTTGGAAACTACTTCGCTACTACGGGGTCCCATCGACAATTATACACCTCATCCAACAGTTATACGACAATGCTGCATGCCAAGTAATCCACAACGGGAAACTTACGGAAGCCTTCGAAGTGAGGACGGGAGTGAGGCAAGGCTGTCTACTATCACCAATGATCTTCCTGATTGCAATTGATTGGATAATGCGACAGACAACGGCAACCAACGAGGGAACAGGCATAAAATGGACTGACACAAAAGACTTGGAGGATCTGGATTTCGCCGATGATATATGTCTGATTTCCCATAAACTGGAAGATATGCAAATGAAAAGTAACAAGTTGGCAGAAGAAGCATCAAAGATAGGACTTCACGTGAACATAGATAAAACAGAGATGATGAAGATTCCTTGCCAACATCAACAGCAACAACAGACCACAATAAGCATAAATGGGAAGAACCTGAAAGAAACAACCTCCTTCACCTACCTGGGAAGCATCGTCTCAACTACAGGCGGAACTGACGAGGACATCAAAGCCAGAATCGGAAAAGCAAGACAAGCTTTCATTACTCTCAAATCTGTGTGGAGGTCAACAGCACTCAGCATCAAAAATAAGATCCGGATTTTCAACTCCAATGTGAAGTCAGTGCTACTATACGGATCAGAGACTTGGCGAGTCATAAAGAGCATCTCAAACAAACTTCAAACCTTCATTAACAACTGTCTCCGCTCAATACTCAAGATCAGATGGCCAGAAAAGATCAGCAACAGGGATCTCTGGGAGCGAACCAATCAGGAACCGATTGTGAAACAAATAGGCAGAAAGAAATGGAGATGGATTGGCCATACGCTGAGGAAACCAACAAGTGACATCACTAGACAAGCCCTCGAGTGGAACCCGAAAGGGAGGCGGCGAGTTGGTCGTCCAAGGGTGACTTGGAGGAGGTCATGTGAAGAGGAGATGAAAGCATGTGGGCAGACCTGGAGCAGGGTGAAAAAGTTGTCAAAAAACCGAAGTCAATGGAGGTGCGCAGCTGAAGCCCTATGTTCCTCTAGGAACTAAAGGATACAATAATAATAATAATAATATACATATATATATATATATATATAGTATCAGAATAATTCTTTGCAGCTGATCCGGTCTCTGAATTTCTGTCAGAAATAATCTACCGAGCGATAGAAAGGCCTACAACTTAGAAATGTTTTGACAGATGAAATCTGGTCGTTAATACAACAGATTTAAAATTATTTATCGCATTCGTACTAATCTTAATTTTGTTCTACGAGTTCATCTTCTATATACAACAGCTGAAGCCATAGGAATCCACCTGAAGAAGCCAAACCTTTGTGTGTGTTCAGAAGAAATTTGTACAGCCACTTTCCTTACCTTGGCCATTGTTACATGATTGTATGAACCGGACTACTTCGCCCCCCTCCCCTTAAACCTTTAAAATTATAAAAATTATAATTGTCCAAATTATTTTTTTTATTTCTTGCTTACCATTTCATCTTTAATTACGTGTTATCCTTGTAAAATTGATTTATTCTAACCATTTCTACCTTTTAACTGTGTGTATTAATTTTCTTTGTTAATTATCACCCCAATGACATTTTGACACTGACTAATTATTGTTAACAAACATATCGCCCTCAACTTGACTGGTAAACTGTTGTGTGTTGTAATAAAATATATTAGATTAGAGCCAGAGATGAGGATCTAATTGAAAAGTGAATATTTCCTCGCTCCCTCAATCTTTCTGTTTTCTAAATAACAAATAAGTTGAAGGGAATGAAGATATACTAAGAAAACCACTGGCCAACAATGCATACCAGGCCCTCGGGTGGAACTCAAGTGAGAAACGGCAAGTTGTTGAGCGTAGGCGCGAGAATGAAATAGAGGAGATAATGTGAAGAGCAGATGAAGGCAGAGACACAGGATGAAATGTAGATGTGGCGTTGAAGCCGTATGTTCCACTCTGAATCTAAGGGGGATGGTTAATAAATAATTAAAGAATGTGGTGAAATCTCATCTCTAACTGTGTAATTGGGAAATTACGAATCTGACTGAATAACTAAGTGATAAAACAACCACTCACACACACACACACAGTTGCCAGTGTTCTTAGTTACCACACTTTGTAAAAACACACCAAATACGATAAAAACGTATTGAAGCTCCAGAGGATGGGTGTGTGTGTGTGTGTGAGAGACAGAGAAGGCTAAATGAGCACAAACAAAGATTTTTGAAAACTGGAAGATTACTAGGGAATTAATTTTATTAAACTGCGATTATATTTTGACCCCTGCATCATCTCTAAATGTTTAGTGCCTAGCATAATGAAGACCCAGTTCAGGCAATCTACACACCACGAAAGGTGTCTGTCACAAGCTAATATAGAAAATATTTTGCACAAAGTAATACTACAAATTAAGAACGACCATACTCAGAAATGAAAACACATCTTTGATTTCACAGCATTTCTTCAGCTGTCCACAATAGAGGATAAGTTACTTCAGCTATAAATATGTAACATACATCATGAATTGTTTCAACTATGACGGCATAGTCCTGGAACAAGAGAGATACATTGGTGATTGACAATTTTCATTATTGTACTGTTGACCAATTAATTGCTGTCTGTTTCCATTCACTTCATGTACACAATACAAATAATTATCTTGATTACGAATTCTCGACTCCTCATCTCTCTGTGTTGTCCTCTCGTTTACCAGTATTCTGCTAGTCCAGATTACACCTACAAATGAGTACTATAGATATTGTTTTCAATTAGATCTCATCAGGCTTAACTCTAATATATATAAGTTTACAAATAAAAATTCAAATATAAACCAATCATGGTGTTTTGTCTATAGGATAATACGATGGTGAATATAAATATATATAAACAGAAAAAGCACATTCACAGGGCAATACACACACTTCCTTAGTTACGTGCTCATTAAATATAAAAGGAATCTTGTAAAATGTCTCGCAAGCAGAGCAAGGAAGATATGTACGGATGACCTCTTACAAAAGGAATTTGAATATATTCACGATTCCTTGTCGGAGATGGGTTATCCGAATAGTTTCATAAAGAAACATATGAAACCATCAGAGAAAAAACCTGTGACTCTGATTGCACATAAGGAACCTCTATTTATTAAGTTACAATTTAATGGTGACTTATCTAGTGAGATTCTATTCCAAGGACTTTCAAGGAGCATACGTAGAACATTTTACGCAGCACACCTATGTTTGTCATTCTCTAGCCGACGATTGATTGGGACGCAAACGAAGGATAAGCTTGATAGTTTTGCCACATCTATGTGTATTTATCAATTCAACTGCACCTGCGGTGACAGTTATATTGGGCGTACTACTAGACAGCTTAGCCAACGTGTTAGTGAACATCTCCCATCGTGGTTTGGCAAAGGACAGACAAAAACAATCCGTAGCTCAATTCTGTCACATCTAATTGATAGTGGTCATGTAGTCGATAAAACGAAAGCCTTCAAAGTAATTCATCGTATCCCATCGAAGCTTTCTAATAGACTTCGTATTCGTCTAATGCACACAGCTGAGACAGGTGATAGGCATTCGAACTATTAAACCTGAACTATGCATTCAAAAGAAGTTCGTACAGCCATTATCCCTCCCGTGGCCTAATAAGACATAAACAACTAAAGACTTCTACACCACCCCTTGTTTATATTTCCAACCCCTTTCTTATCATCCCTTAATCTTATCTTCATTATAAACGTGCTTCATTTCCTTCCCTTACAATCTAACATTACGTAATTGGTTCATTTGTTTTTACTAGCCTTTATCGACTACTTCCACCTGTTGTTTGTTTAATCATACTGTTTTTCATTATTCGTGTTATCACAGATTGCCTCAGTTTTTCATCCTTATTATTGATAAGACCATTATTATTGTTATTACTATTATTAATATTATCATTACTACTATTATGACTAATTGCACAATTTATATTCATCGTATTATCCTATAGACAAAACACCATGATTGGTTTATGTATTTGAATTTATATTTGTAAACTTATATATATATTAGAGTTAAGCCTGATGAGATCTAATTGAAGACAATCAGTATTGTTCGCTTAAATGTGTTGTTCTAAATTTTACTATGAGAATATTTAATATACTACAGATATGAATACAAGGTAGCTAATAATCTAACAATCGGAGTTTGTTTTCAGGTAATCAATGATGGGAAGTTTGACAGGGGATATTGGGAGTGAAGAGAAATGAGATGCGTAAAATCACCACGTATATTATTAAACAATGAAGTGAATCTGGAGATTGATGATGCGTTAAGTTCATCGAATGAAAGTTAGAAGGAAATTATGATACAACAGAAGCACAGAAACGAGAAAGAGATATTTAGTTAAAAGGGTGTCTGTTGTGTCCCAAGTCGGTTTCTCAAGCTCATTAGATAAACCAGACAACCTCCAATATAAATGAATCTGCTTCGTATCATCAAATCATGCATTCACCTACTTCAAAAACCCACCCCCAGCTTTGATGATAAATCCAGTAAGATTCGACAAAAACTATGTGTACGTGTCAGTACTTGAATTTTCATGTATTGGTTTTGTAGGGATTTTGTTTGATTGAATGAAGGATTTCATTCTGAGCTGATATCAGTTAGAGAACCACTGGAAACTACCAGCTGGGAGTACTGGACAGCTGTTTCCTCAGTCCTAGTTTGGGACTCTTCAAAAGGGACGCACCCACCGGGGTTCGAACGCAGGACCTTCTGGTTACAAGGCGACCTCATTGACCATTGAGCCACTGGGACCCGATCCAATGGTCCTTGAATTCTAACCTCTGCTAATATACGAAAAAGCGCGATCATTTCGCAATGTATTCTTCGATGAGTTACTGCCTTATTTTCAACTTGCTGTAACCGTACTGATCACGGCCTCCCACTAGATCGGGTCCCTGTGGCTCAATGGTCTACAAGCTCGCCTTGTAACCAGAAGGTACTGAGTTCGAACCCTGTTGGGCGTGTACTACTGAGGAGTCCCAAACTAGGACAGAGGAAACAGCTGTCCAGTACTCGCAGCTGGTTTTCCAGTGGTTCTCTAACTGATATCAGCTCATGATGAAATCCTCCATGCAATGAAAGATATGTATATATATATATATATATATATATATATATATACTCAAATTTCAATCGTTTCTTACTTGACTTTTCAGACTCCTCAATAGTTCGCCACTGTTTTCAAATTCTGAAGACGGATTACTGATTTGCACAGCAGAATGTCCACATGGATCATATTCATCACTAAAATTAAGAGTAATAAGTGTAACGAATATAGTCTTTAAATATTCCCATTTTTAATATCAGAACAAGACATATCAGCGAACAATATTGTTGTTTTCAATTAGATCTTCATCAGACTTTAATCTAATTTACATAGATTTATATATATATATAATTGCAATTTAATGGGGACGTGGCTAGCGAATTCTTACATCTGAGGTGATCGACAGTGATAAAACGGACTTATACTGCCGCCACTCTTTGTTTGTCATTTTCCAGCCAACCAATTTTGATTGCTCAAGTGAAAGATAAGCTAACTAGCTGTGCCACTTCGATGTGTATCTATAAATTCAGTTGCTGCTGTGGAGAGAGGTATATAGGGCGAACAACTAGACAGCTTAACAAACGCACTAATGAGAATCTTCCTTCATGTTTCGCAAAAGGTAGAATAAAATGTATAAGAAGTTCTATTTTGGCTCATTTGATTAATAGCGGTCACCAAGTGGACAGAAATAATGCCTTCAAAGTTATCTGTCGCATTCCATCGAGCCCTTCGAATGGAATTCGAATCCGTCTTTTACACATAGTCGAAGCTATGGGAATTAGAGAGAGAACAATCCTTGTCTTTGCATAGAAAAGAAGTTTGTTCTACCTTTGTCTCTCCCTTGACTTAGGTGAATTCAAGACCCTCCCACCCTTTCATGTTTTCCATCTCCTTCGTATTTCTATGATATTTATTTAAACTCTGATTATCTGTCCACTTCCCCTTTAGTATTACGTAACTTTTAAGATTTGACCTAATCATTTATTTATTGAATTGTCTACATATACACATATTACTACCTTTGTTATTCTTATCACCACCTGCGTAAACCTTATTATCAATATTTTGTTGTCATTATAATCATCGTTATTACTGACAATTAAAACATTTAACACTTATTATTACTTGATCCATAAACTCACCGTCATTGGTTAAAAATTTATGTATATATATATAAATCTATGTAAATTAGAGTAAAGTCTGATGAAGATCTAATTGAGAACAACAGTACTGTTCGCTTATATGTCTTGTTCTAACGAATATAAGCTGATCAGAAATTGGAATTATTAAAAACGTAATAGAATTATTCTGAAATGTGTGTACAAAGCATGAAGTCAAAAATCAAATCAAACTAGAATCAAAAGACATCGATTTTCACCACTGGGTAGTTAGTGTATGTTGTCCGGTGTATTCATTTGTGCTGATAGGAGACAATTAATCAGGTTTTCTATGCGATCATCACCTTAAACAGCTCAACATCCCCATGAGATTTCGACTGGTGTTAGATGCTAAGAGATATTCTTCTAAAACTTGGTCTAGGTTTAGTGTTTGTCAGCAGTCATTAATTAGTCTTCAAGATACATCAGCTATCTCAGTTGAATACATTTATGAACAGATAAATGAATATAAATCATTTAGAGTTGAAGCCAGAGACCACTGAACTATTCCTGTCGCATACACATACGCGTTCAAATCAGATTGGCTATAATAATAATATTATGTAATATTGTAGTCATTCCATAATTTCGTTAATTCATAAAGCCTTGGTGTTAAACAACACAAGTGGTGACTTGAACGAAATGACTGAGAGGGAAGACTGTGCTGATGTCACAGTTAAATGGTAGGAAAACCATCTGCCTGAGAGATGTAACAACAATTAACAGGGAGTTTAGAGGTGCTTTAAATTTCACACTAAAAACTATCTGATTAAACCAGATAGTTTTTTCTTACTGCGTTACGTTCTTCTCGAGGAGGGCTGTGTCCATGTGTAACAGTACTATTAACTTGAAGGGATTTGATGTAATTATTATTAGTGTTCCCTTTGGTTTCTAGTGGAATATAGGGCTTCAACTGCACGTCTCCACTTGCTTCTGTCTTCTGCTGTACTGTTCACCTGCATCCATATTAGTCCATACTCTTTCAACTCCTCTTCACATGATCTCCTCCATGTCACCCTTGAACGTCCCACTCGCCGCTTACCTTTTGGGTTCCACTCGAGAAATGGCCTGACGCGTGATGTCACCCAGCGGTCTCCTCAGCGAGTGTCCGATGCATCTCCACTTTCTCCTGCATATTTGCTGCTGTTGGGAGATTGGTTCTTGTTTTGTTTGTTCCCATAGTTTATTGTTGGTGATTCTTTACGGCCATCTGACCTTCAGTATAGAGAGAAGACAGTTGTTGGTTGATGAAGGTCTGCAACAGGTTGTTGGAAATATTCTTTGTGACCCGCCCACCAAGTTTCTGATCCGTATATAAGTGCTGACTGACTTGACGTTGTTTGTATTGAAAATCCGACCGAATTTTGTTGTTGACGCTGGCTGAGTGACAAAGATTTCCAGTTGATGGTGGTTGGCGCTAGATGTTGCTGCTGTTGTAGTAATGGATAACATTTTGGTTTCTGGAACGACTGACGCTGGGTTCGAGCTTCAGTATATGAATAGGCAGCAATCAGTGTTGTAATTCTGGAACTAGTTTTCGCTCTTTTTGGTACCAGTTAGCAAGGTGTATCTAAAACCATGAACGAATTAGTGTTGCTTCTAATTTTTGAACATCCATCACTCGGTGCATCGGTCAAAGACGTTATTAGTGAGCCTGGAGAACAGGACTGACTTTCTCTAGGACAGTAATGGAGAAAATGACCAGTCAGCGGTGAGCAATTACTGGTACTTTGTTGTTTAAGTTTGACCACTGATTGATATCAGTTACAGAACCATTGGAAACCAGGCAGGGCAGTCGTTTCATCTTAGTTTGGGACTCATTGGTAGTTACGTACCCACTACAGGGGCTCGAACCCAAGATCTTCCTGTTCAGCCAATATGCTCTGATTTAATGGCCCAGGAATTCTAACTTCTGCCAATTTGGTGACTAATGCCGATGATTCACAAACTAGGATGAAACAACTGTCCAGTACTTCCTGGTGTTCAATAGTTCGATAACTGATATGAATCCCTAGTCAAACTAGAAAAAACAGATCGATTTCTATCAGTCAAGCTTGCTATATGAACATCAACGTAGGACACTGTATTGGTCCCATATGACTGAAGGTTTTTGGCAGAAATCTTTGTACCTAAGTTTCAACCTTAACTACTGATTAATATGTGCCTACTATGTCTGATCTAAAAGTCAGGCAGTTAAACCACTGGTAATGATCACTCATAGGATTTTAACATCATATAACATGTATATAGATAGACTTCCTAATATCTAATATCACACTCTGATGACTGACTAACTGACTGGTTTCAACAAAGAACTTTACAGCTCAAGTCGCTACATTCCATGTATCACACAAAGCAAGAGAAGCAAGTAGAAGAAATGCTTAATAGAGACACTAAACAGAGGTGTGAGACAAAAGAATAGTAATAACGAAGAACAAAACAGTTTCATTGGAAATCATAAGTCACAAGGAGTGGATGCATCTGCGCTAGCCACTGAGAAGGATTGTAAGCCATATCACCAGTTGTCTCTAGCATTCATTGATGTTTACTGTCCCGAGGATCCCAACTATTAAGGAAGTTTACACCTTCCAACGTGGCTGGCTGGCTTAACTAATTGTTGTGGATTTCATTGACTGGTGAGGCCATGTTTTTGTTTGACCGCCGCTAGCTCTTTTCCAGCCTGATCACTCCTATGTTAGCTAACATTGCCCGTCCGTCGAGGAAAGCGATGACTAGGCATACATAACATATGTCCTAACCACCTCAGTCGATGTAATTTCACAGCCTCTTCGATTGATTTCCCCTTCTTACCTGGCACTCGACCAATACCTAACCTCAATATTGCTCACCCCCCATACCACTTCACACGAGAGATGGAGCGCAGGCACCTATTATGGAAGACAGCTAATCTTTTCATGTCTTCCACTCTCAATGGCCATGTCTCACTCACAGCCATAAATGAGGGCGGAGTGGACTGATGAGTAGTGCACCCGCCCTTCGGTCGACACCCATTCGGATATCACGTCTGCGCCAGAGATGGCGTGAACTAGCATATGCGAAACTAGTGTTCTATATCCATGCAGAGATTTTATCAGAGATCAACCCGTTGGCGCTGGCTGATGCAACTTCCCAAATAAATGAAGTGGTAAACATGCTCCACTAACCACTTCACTTCCTATTTCTAAGCTAGGAATCAGTGTAGTCCACTCCTATAACATCCTCATAGATCTGGCGGAAGCGAATGGCCTGCCAAACATTCGAAGATTGCTGCTCCTCAAGGTGTTCAGGAGACTGTACATTTTGTCAGTGTGATAATTCACCTACTGAGATGCGGAAAAACAGTAATATTAGTCGTCCTCTAAGAAAAATAATAGATTGGCTTATAAGACATAATTTTCTATCTTCACCTTCAAATTCTCATGGCTTGTTTCACTAAATTTTAAACAATAATGAAGTCTCACAAACTGAACTACACTCATTAGTGGTCTATTTCCTCCATCTAATCTTTGGGGAGACATGTAATCACAAATAAGAATGTCTTCACTCTAACTGCTGACGTTACATTTTTTGTACTTCTTGTTTAATTTAACTCAACTAATAATTTAAAAGTCACTATTATGATTATTATTATTGTGATTATTTGTAATGTTATTTACTTTAATACCAAAGTAAATACAACTCAATAGACTACAATTTCATTGCACATATGCATCAACAGGACATGTGAAGTGAATAAACAGAGGATTCAATTCCAAATTTTTTTAGAAAATTATCAATTCTTTAGCGTTCCTTGTTAGAGTAAATATAGACAGAAATAATAAATTAAGCGTTATGGCTAATTAACATTTAACTGGTGTATGTAATTTAACCCTGTAATTCTCTTACAACACTTAAGTGCAACTAATCACTTTTCTCCACTGTTGAGTAACACGGAAATGAAGTTGTCATTCTTCTCATTTTCCTTCAGAGTTCCGAATGGAACATAGAGATTCAAGCTTGAAATATGAAGTTTCAATAGCAGTGATGTCTGTTTTTTTACT